TATAACAGATATAATCATCATCCTTGCAGCAAAGCTGGTCCAATATCAGTGCTCACACCAGATCCTGCAAACAAAAGAAGTATGCATCCCATTATTGAACACGTATCATTTACCCTTTTAGTATTCCGAATACGATATTTTTCTGCATCAAAATTCCTCCAAGGATAAAATTGAGTATAAATTTCATTATTAAGACTGCTTTGAACTACTATATCTCCAGCCGATTAAAGATCAAATTTTCAAGAAACTAAAAAGCAACATACAGTTGCATAAGAAAAGTAGCATATGTTCTAATGTGTATGCACACAAACAGACCTTCACAGATCAGCATGTAATGCAAAACTGAAGTGTACGCATCAACAAGCACATAGACTTGGTGAAAATATAGGGATATACAAGTTAAGCTGAATCTTTTTGTATCTTTTAAATCTACTGCGGTGGAACCTTCAATGTCTCACTTGCCAACGATAAGGCAGGAGCCCCACAATATGGTGAGAAGCATAACAGTTGATCCAGCCATCAAGCCCATCCCAACAGATACTTGACTTTGAGCAGTTTCTTTGTTCCCAGTTAGTCCAGAATCTATAAAAACATCAGTGCTAATTAGAGTTGAATTAGATTACATTAGTCCATATTTTAAGGTAACCACTCTGTTGCAAGGAGGTTCTTTAACAAAAATGTAAGTATCCGGTAGTAGATCGAAAATCAAACTAGTCTAATAGACAAGCTAAACCAAATTTGAAGAATAAAAAACTCACCGAGGATGATTGCTGCATCAGGAGCAGAGCCCAATACAGGCAAGAGTAAGCCACCAATAATGCCAGGACCAAGAATTTGCAGCAAAATCGCACTTCCATTTGACAAAATTTTGGCACCCTGGAACATTAAGTAACCATAGACAAAGATAAGGAAAATATTGCAAAAGAGAGAGGTGGTGCATGGCAAAAATCCATAGGCTTGCTCACAGGTATCTGAAGATATGAAGCTGTTAAGTAAGATGAATGTTGGTTTCTCAACAGCTTGGATTCCATCAGAGACCATAACAGAAGATAAATTGCTAATGGGCGGACTCTGTGCAGGACAAGCTACTGCTAGATAAAAAAGTATAAGACAGAATGCCAGCTTCCTTCCCATATTTTATCTTGGCTTTCTTTACAAGATTGAAAGGCTTATTGCTGTGTTTTTGACTGCATAACCTCGGATGATTTATAAATAAGGCTGGAAGCTCATAATTTAATTACTAAGAGTGGGCTAAGATCAAAACGTGATTCAAAATTCAATATAATAATAAGACAGGAAAATCAAGACAACTAAGAACAACCAATGAAATTGGACTAAATGTAAAATGAAAACCAATTTGAGAATAAAATAACTGATGGAATGCAACATCACTAGCCTAAAGTTTCTGATGGAATGCAATATACAGCTGTAAGTGAGCAAGATTTCGATCCGGAAAGCAATAGTTTAGAAAGAGCATGTTGTGTCTATAGCTATAAGAATCACCATCTAGACGTCATCAAAAGTTTTAATTAAATTTATAGAAAAATTAAGGTATCAGTCACATGTTTTCAAGAATGCCGATCTTTCATAGAAGTAGAACGTCCGAGGTTGACTAACCTAACATTAATACAACTTATCATTAGGAAATAAATTAATTCACGTAGTTAATATGAAAATTTATGATTCTACTAGGTGTCTTGCGTCAGTGTCAGGGTATTTCCCAAAGAAATAAACAAGACAGCTGAATCTTCGTACCAATGAGAATAGGGCAGACAAATTGAGATTCAGATCAAGGTTTTGATATCCGAGGATAATCTACACAAACAAAATTATGTTTGTTGATGCTTGATTTTGACACTAGCAACTTGCACGAGCAAATAGTTAAGAGAATCTTAGAAATTACATGTGATGGATTCATGAGATTTGAATATAGTGCTAAGATTATATATGTTTACAGAAAACATAAATAATAGATAGACAAAGAGAGATTTTTATAGAGGTTCGAATGCTTAAAGCAAATTCTACATCTATTGTTATTTTATTATTCTCTAGCTATTTCTGTGGTATTGCTCGTAAGATATACAAAGATGGTGAAATACTTTGTTTATAGAGAGGAATAATGTAGCTCAAATGTTTGCCTAGCTCTCATCTGCACAGCCCCCCTCTTTTAAGAAGAGAGGTGCCAATTTATACACATTTGAGGTCAATGTAATGAGTGCTCTTGCAAGTTATCTTGACACACGGACAACTCTCCTTCGTCCTTATCTTAAAATGAGATAGAGGTTGTATAAAATATCTTTGAGGCGGAATGAGCTTGATAGCTAGTATCTTTGAGGCAGAATGAACTTAATAGCTAGTACACTTTGTTCTTTAGGCATTTGTTGAGCTGACATCAACCCGATTTTTTAGACATAGCAGAACCCCCCCAATTTTTGGAATGCGTAATCGCGCTTAAAAAACTCAGGTCTTTGATCTAAATGGCTGTCACACTATAGGCTGCAGTCTCGAACTGAAGAGCTCGAACTTTACCTGGCATGATCGGGTGCTGAGAGTTAGTACCGCGATCTGAGCGCTTGCAGCAATCCAAAGCCGAGCGTGATCTGATAATTGACATAAAATGTCTAGCAGACGAATTCCTGGAGGGAGCTAACGTCAAAAGCCCAAATGCACAACTTAGAGGCCTTAAACGGACAGGCCAACTTAAAACAGCCATAACTTTTGATCCAGGAGGAGTTTTGGAGCTTGTAAGATACCCACGGAAAGCTTGTTCCAAGCTCTAGTCATGGGAGCAGATAACCCGATTGGGGCCATTTTCGGGGCCAAAATCCGTCGTTTTAACATGTTTCAGTGCTGTTTTGAGTTTTCTATGTGTTTTTTCTGACGCTGGCAGTTGGTCATGATCTGAGAACTGAGAACACAGCTTGAGACTGTTCGTAATCTCATAATTGAGAGCTGATCGTGATTTAGGAGCTAAGAGCTTGATCATAGAGTATAAAGAGCTCGATCAGAGAGCATAAGGAGCTCGATTAGAGAGCATGAAAAACTCGATCTGAGATCATAAGGAGCTCGATCTGAGATCATAAAGAGCTCAATCTAAAATTACAAGGGGTTCGATCAGAAAGCATGAAGCTTGATCTGAGAACACAAGAAGTTTAATCAAAAAGCGCGAAGCTTGATCTGAGACACACAAGATCAGCAATCTAAGCGCTCGGAAGCGCGACCTAGCCGCTCGGAAGCACGATCTAAATGATCTGAACGCGTGATTTGGATTATCTGAGCGTGCGATCTGACCTTTCGATCCGAGAGCTAAAGATCAACGATCTGAGCGTGCGATCTGCGATATGACCACACAGACCGAGAACTCTGATGCGTGCGATCTGGTCTAGCGATCTGGAGCTGAGGATCGGGGAGCTTGGACCCACACGATCAGGGAGCTTGGACGCAGATTCGAGACCTGCATGAGCCACCAAACTATTGATGCTTGATTTTGACATCTACGACTCACATGTACAAAGTGCTAAGAGAGCCTTAGAAATTACACGTGACGGATTCATAAGATTTGAATATGATGTTGAGATTATATATGTTTGCAGAAAACATAAATAGTAGATAGGCAAGAAAAGTTTTTATAGTGGTTCGTATGTTTAAAGCAAATACACTGTTATTTTATTATTCTCTGACTATTTCTATGATATTGCCCGTAAGACATACAAAGATGGAAAAATACTTTGTTTACAAAGAGGAATGATGAAGCTCAAATGTTTGCCTAGCTCTATCTGCCCAACCCTATTCTTTTAAGAAGAGAGGTGTCAAGTTATACGCCTTTAAAGTAAATGTAATGAGTGCTCTTGCAAGTTGTCTTGGCACATAGAGAGCTCTCGTTCGTCCTTATCTTAAAATGAGATATGGTTGATATAGAATATCTCTGAGACGGTATGAGTTTGACAGCTAGTACATTTTATCTTTTAGGCACTTGTTGGGCAGCCTAATTTTTTAGGCATAACAATGTTAGAGGCATTATTATATTTGATATATATATATTTTTTATACAAACTTTGCGGAAATATATCTGCTGGCAAACACAGTTTATCTGTGAAATCTTGGAAGAAATTAAATAACTCAAAACTAGTATGATCATTTGAGTTTCTTGCTTAGAAACAAGGCTTCGATTTTGCTTATTCTTTCGAGAACTCGAAGCATATAAAATTTTGAACTATTATCTTCTACAATGAATTGCTTTAATTCACTCTCGTCTGTTCGACTTACAATGGGTTTATTGGGCTGCTGCACGTTGAACAACAGAACAAAAGTTTTATCAGTTTTTCACAGCTGTAGAAACTTTTTGTGATGATTTTGGGTTATTTTTCTGGTCTTCGTTCAAGTATAGGATTGTGACTTGGTAATGCTCATGGCATCATTTCATTTTAAACACTTATTTTGATGATGAATGATATAATACTAATCATCGGTGCGCCAATTAAATTTTTAATATATGTTAAATAATATCTCATCAATAGATAAGTCATTCGAGATAAATAAAATAAAACTTTAAAAAAAATTAATTTTTAATATATGCTATAATTATGAAAATAAATATATCAAACTTTGTATATGTATAGATAAGGCAAAACACAATTTCCTCAGTATAAAGGGGTCGAATGCCCCTTTTTAAAAATCAGATTTTGAAAACTATTCTAGCAAATTTTCACAAATTCAGGTAGAATTAGATATACTTCTCTCAGGCAACTCAAAAGATTCTTTTTTTTTTAATTAAACATTTTATTTTATTTTTTAACACTGGATCTGGATGACCCTTGTTCTGTTCTAAGAGGTGGAGTCAAAAGTTTTCCTGACGTGGCAGGCATTAATTGGTAAGTCCAGAGGGTAGCAGAGAAAACAAAAAGCCACAGCCTTTGAGTGTCTCCGTTAGCATTTTCATTCCCACTGTTGGTGTTTTCTTCTGAAATCAACTCCAAAATTCAACCCAACAAAACCCTAACATGTCCACCCAGAACGAAGAACAAGTATCTTCACCTACCCAATACCAGTCACCTAGAACCCTAGCCCTAGAAATACCCCTAGATATACCAAATCTTCATAACTCTGACCAATTTGAAGAAGATCAGGATGAAGACGATCTAGAGGTGCTTACCCCCGTCTCTCAATCCACTGTCCCCACTCTCATCCGCCGTCCTCCTATCAAACGCAAGAAACTTAACAAAAAAAACCGACGCGCTGCTGCTCTAGGAAAGAAATGGTTGAAAAAGCTCGGAATTCTTAAGCAAACCCTAAGACCAATTCCTTTCCGTCCCAACAGAAACCTAGATTTCTCCCGCCATGAACCTCTGTTGAAACGAATTGGGTTATGGGATTTTGTTCATCTGGAGTTCGACCCCAACATTCGTACGGATCTCATCGCCCAAATCATCGCAAATTACAACTCGAGCGCTCGTAGCAGCTACGTCAACGGTGCAAGAGTCCGTGTGAATCGTGCGGATTTGTCCCGCGCATTGAAATTGCCGGTAGGGAAGGATAAGAATATCGTCAATGTGCATGCGTCGGACGGTTCTGGGGAGTCTTGTGAGAAAGAATCGGAGGAGTCGATAGGGTTTATCCAAGAGGTAGTGTCGAATTGGATGCTTTTGCATGACGACACGTGGATGATGCCGCAGGATGTGCTGAATTGGATGAATATGATCAAAGAAGGGAATTTTGAGAAGACTTTGTGGGCTACTTTGGTTTGGTTTATGGTGGAGAAAGAGTTAACGGTCTCAAAGTTGGAGAATTGTTATTACGCTTCGCATTTGCAGTGTTTGATCAAATGTCAGAAAGCGGAGTTGTTGAGAGAAGAGGTCAAACAGCAGCAGGGGGAGGTGATAGAGGAGATCAAAGAAGAAGAGGAGGAGGTGAGAGAGGAAGTCAAAGAGGAAGAGGAGGGGGTGGGAGAGGAGGTCAAAGATGTAGTGGAGGAGGTGAGAGAGGAGGTCAAAGATGTAGTGGAGGAGGTGAGAGAGGAGGTCAAAGATGTGAGAGAGGAGGTGAGAGAAGGAGGTCAAAGATGAAAAGGAGAAGGTGAGAGAGGAGGTCAAATATGAACAAGAGGAGGTGAGAGGGAGGTCGAAGAAGAACAAGAGGTGGCGAGAGGAGAGGTTGAAGATGAACAAGAGGAGGGTAGGGAGAGGTCAAAGATGAAGAGGAGGTGAGAGAAGAGGCCAAAGATGAAGATGGAGGACTGTGATGGGGATGTGAAAATGCATGATGGGGTTGATGATAGTAAAACAACTGAGTTGGAGGAGCATAACATTGAGGTGTGTCTTGGTCAAGATAATGTTGTTAATGTAAAAGAGAATGTTGTGAAAGAGGAAAAGGAGGTTGTCGGAGATGATGATGTCGTCAATTTTGGGGGAAATAAAAATGAAGAACAACAGGGTCCTGGTTATTGGATGGGAAAAATGATGTGGTTGAGAAGAGCCTTTTTTAAGGGGGTGTACTCTTGGTGATGATAAGGTTATGGATTGTGATAGGGAAAGGAAACAAGAAGTGGAAGAAGAAGGAGAGGAAGAGGGAGGAGAAAGAGGAGGAGGAGGAGGAAGAACAGCAGCACGAAGCAGGATTTGCTCTTTCTCCTGAACGATACTTTGGAGATGGTATCCTCAGCTAATCTTATTCAAGGAATGGAAACAGTGCAAGTTCCTTTAATAAGGGATACAGTTTGTGATGATGATTTGCTGGGGAGTTTCTTTCGTCTAGGGTTGATACTCATACAAATCCAGGCGCTTATCTTCACATTTTGGTAATGGGAACAAGAGACCTAGATCAGGAGAATGAGGGGTCTCATCTTAGTGGTAGCAATAAGCGGTTGAGGAGTGGAGGATCATGGGTTAATAAGTCATCTTCAGATTTTCACATGTGTATGGAGCAGCAATACAGCATTGGATGGGAAAGGCTACAATGATGTATGAGGCAAAAGATCAGGTTGTGGGAGTCCAATGTGAATCAACAATTTTTAATTAATGAAGTGCGAAGCGGGATAACATGATTGAACACTTGCATAAGGCGAAGTTGGAGGAACAACATAAAAGGCAGATTGATGTCTATAAGCTTGAGCGTGAACTTTATGTTATGGCAAATGTCCTTGAGGGATATAGAAGGCTTTGAAAGAGATCATAAGGCATTTGCTGAATATAGAGCACGGTGCCCGCAGGCTGATGATCCGCTTTACCAGGATGTTACTGGTGGTGGGTTTAGTTCTAAGCACTATGGAACTGGAAAAGGAAAGTGTGAAGCAAGAAGAAGAGAGAAGGAAGCAAGAAGAAGAGATGAAGCTAGAAGAAGAGAGAAGGAAGACAAGGAAAGAAGCGAGAAGCAGAAGAAGAGATGAAGCTAGAAGAAGAGACAAGGAAGCAAGAAGAAGAAAGAAGGATGCTGGAAGAAGAAAGAGTGAAGCTAGAAAATGACAGAAAGAAGCAAGAAGCAGATAAAAGGAAGCTAGAGGAAGAAGAGACAATGAACCGTGTGCTAATTGAAAAGAAAATTAAGGAGTTTGAAGAAGGATGGATTTCAAACTTCGAAGCACATAATTGTGGGGTTCATATGCTTTCTATGAAGGTGCTTGATGTTGAAAATGAGGTAAAACACTTCAAGGAATTGCTTGCAAAACAAAAGGTTTCTGAAGATACAAAATGCGCTCCAAATGAGTGATTGTCTGGTCGGTAAGTCAATGAATTGAATCATGTTACTAATAGGTTAATGGAGAGGAACGTTTAGCCAAAAAAATTATAGTTTCTGCACCTCTTTTTCTTCCTAGTTTATAGATTTATGTATTTAAATCTTTAGTATGTGTTGATATGTTAAGATGGCGGCAGATCATTTTAGTAGGCTAGAAATGCTATACTATGTTGTCTGCTTGTGATCACTCATCATTTATGAACGTGCAATTTGTGCTTCTTGTTTGCCGTTAAATATGAGCAATGAATTTGCTAATTCCCTGCCCCCAAGCTCCTCTGTATTTGGGATTACGCAAATTAACTATTGCCTGATGAGTTGTTTCTGGGGTGAACTTCTTTGATAGGTGGTGTCTGCAAACTTGTTCCTTATTTGTTATGTTAGCCATTTACTTGTTTCTTCTTTTAAAACATGTTTTGTACACTTTCTCATGATTGCTAAAAAAATGAGGATTAATTTTCATTGTTCTATTTTATTTTTATGGGAAGTTGGTGTGGAGCAATAAGCATCAAATATCTGTATGCCAATATCTAATATTTCTATGGTGAATTTTTTGCTCTAAGTTGGGTTGTAAAATGGAGAATAGAAAATTGATTATGCTGTTGTGCAAAGCTTGTGCCTGCTGCATGTAGATATACAAATTGGAATTTTGCAGAGTGGAAAGAGATCTGAATGTTGCATCTAACAGCAGCAATGACAAGTAGCTAGAATCAGTGTAATACTGCTTGTTTGTTTCAGAAATGGATGAAGTAAGACATCATCTAGGAAATAGTTTCCAATTTATGTAGTTATTTTTCCTAAACTTCCCCTACTTTAAACCTTTGCTTGATGATTGGTTTGTTGGTTTGGGATTTTCTTGTCTCTGAAGATGACCTGCGTTTGCTTTATTATCTTCTACATCGTTTACCAGAGAATGAGAATTGGTCGAGTATTGATGGATGTTACTTGTGCAGCTGCTGATCAGAGTTAGATCTTATCAGGTTAAACTTTGAGGTTAGCTCTGAATCCATGCCTTACGAAAATTATAACTACAGCCTGAGGCAGTGAGAGTCAAGTTAAGAGCGGGGCAACCCTCTGCTGTTTATCACCAGCTATTTCCTGCTATGAGACAGCATTAAAAAATTTGACACTGGGAAAACATATGAACGTTATAAGAAAATTTTAGACTACCACCTCAATAATTTGAGTTGGTGCTACAAACCACTAATAAATTGATATTTTATTAATTTTATTTTAAACCAGAAACTAAAATAAAAGACCAAACTGAACTGAAGCATAAAACAGAGGACCAATAAGATACAATTTAGTAAACTCAATAGGTGTCAATTAATTAGAGGCTTGTGGCATTAATTTAGATTATTCGTACCCTAGTTATACTCTAGACTCTCTCGTATGTTATATATATAAAGCAAACTTGAATAATACCAAAAACATCTCTATGTAATAAGACTCCTTTGAATTTAAGTATTAAAACTTTCTTCCTTTGGGAGCAAGCCAAGCAGCAAAATTCAGCTCACCGATTTTATGGGCTAAATTTTAATGCTAAAGAGTCTTATCAGCACTTTTATAAGAAAACAAGGGGAAATCAAGTGGTGGTAGAGGGTACAAACAAAAGCACTGTAACGCTGTCCATTGCTTGCATATTTACTTATATTCGCTTAATAAAATTTAGCCCAAACTGAGTCAAGGAATAAATTTATGTGAAAATTATTTTCCTAGAAATTCAGTAAAATGATTGAATTGTTGTAGCAAATATAAGAAATAATTTTTGTTTAACTATTAAAAAAATAATACAATTGATCTTAACTATTAAAAGAAAGCGAACTACATGTTCTCACGCAGCGTTAAGTGAAATGGCATGGTCTCACTCCTGGTTTCATAAATTCTAGATTTCCACCCTCACATTAATGTTGTTTCATTTTTTTTTTAACTATTAAAGGCTAAAATAGTCATTTAACATATTTTAATATTTTCGTTTGGGGAAACGACTTACACCTACCAAAAGTTTGGAGAAACGACAGATTGGTACCCAAAAAGTTTCAAAAAGACAAACAGGTACCTTCCATTAGGGAAAAGACTAGAATGCCCTTTGAGAAATATTAGTCTATTTTTTTAATTACTTTTAGTCCCCTTAAGTTTATTAATTCCATCAAATACCCCCAGAAAAAAGTTTAAAAATTAACAAAAACACCCCCACTCACCCATACTTGCCAGATTCCGACAGCCACCACCGTAAATGGTCAGTAATTCACCGATCTGACCTTTTTCGACCAGATCTACAGTGGATCTGGCCGAAAAAGGCCAGATCTGACATGAGAAGGTCAGATCTGGCCGGAAAGTGATGGCCAAAGATGGCCACATCTTTGGCCGTCGCTAACGGCCAAAGATGGAGTGTTGCAGCCGTTGACGGCCAGATCTGGCCTTTTCCAGCCATATCCGTGGTGGATCTGGCCGAAAAAGGCCAGATCAGTAAACTACAGGCCATTTTCGGTGGTAGCAGAGACCGTTGTGACAGATTCCGGCTACCACCGACGGTGGCCGCTGGAATCTGGCAAGTATGGGTAGATGGGGGTGTTTTTGTTAATTTTTAAACTTTTTTATGGGGGTATTTGATGAAATTAATAAACTTAAGGGGTTTAAAAGTAATTAAAAAAATAGACTAATATTTCTCAAAGGGCATTCTAGTCTTTTCCCTAACGAAAGGTACATGTTTGTCTTTTTGAAACCTTTTGGGTACCAATATGTTGTTTCTCCAAACTTTGGTTAGGTGTAAGTCGTTCTGCCTTTTTGTTTCTGCCAAAACATCTCTCTCTCACCCTTTATCCCCCATCCTGTTCATCCCACAAATCGTCGGTCGCCGCAACCTTTTGCTTCGCGCGATTGTTGCTCCATGGCCAGATTTCGGACGATTGAAGGCACCAACACCTCACCTGACACTACCGTCGGCTTCATCCCCCCACCCTCATCAAAACCCCATAACCTTCTGGCCGCACCAACTCACTGTTCACCGGCTGCCGCAGCTGATCTCGTGCGACTGTCGCGCACTTGGAAGCCTCACCACCGCCAGTTTTTACCTCAAATCAAACACAATTAACACCTACTCCTAATTGCTTATTGTATTTGGTTGACTGTTGTGTGTAGTCAGGTCGCCAACGACCCCCTTGTCATTGGATTTCTGCACTCCTAAGCCACGCCCACAACCTGCTCGAAGAAAAGCCACGCCCACAACCAACACTAAATCTATTTTTTTGGGAAAAAGAAAATATATTCTCTAGTTTATACTATGAATTACAGGTCCTAGTTTGACACCGAGAAATCTGATTGCTTGATATGAGTTGTGTGTTGTTTGCTTTTTGAGGTAGAAGTGGAGGTGGCTGAGCTTTTGCTTTTTGAGGCCAAGGGATTTACCGCAGCAACTGCTCCATGCATGTCTATAATAAAAAAAAAAAAAAAACTAATTAATAAATTGATGAAAACAAAGCTTGGATGGAATAATAAATGAAATGTTTAGAACCTGCAATGGTGTTTGGCTAGATAAGTTCCCCTTGGAGGAATGGGTTTGGAGCTTTTTCCCAGTCTTCTCTCAGCTGCTTCACTGGTGACTTGTTGGTGGAGTTTGAGGGAGATGAAGAACAACAAACGGTACCAAAGGGAGAGAAGTTAAAAATAAAAGATGTGATGGTGATTGGTGAAGAAGTTGAAAGTTGACGAATGGCTTCATTCGCACCACATCTTTATATATATAAGATAATGCAATTACTTCCCTCTTAATTTTTACTTACTTTAGTTTTAAGTCATATTGAACCATGAATCATTGGAAATTTCTGTAATTGTAATGTGAAGGAGAGGAGGATAATGAGAAGAATTGGAATGAGTTTTGGGATGCTGGTGGCGGTGGCGATGGTGGCCATGGCTTTTAGAGGATTTTGAGCTGGTGAGACGAAGATGAAGAAGATGGGAGGGCAGTTTAGTAATATCATCATTTGCATATGTGTTAGAATTTAACAGTGACTAATGGTGTTACTTTAAAGGTGGATTTCTGGAATTTATGAAACCAGGGGTGGGAACTTGGCATTTCGCCAAAACCTTGGGTGTGAACATGTCTTTTACTCTTAAAAAAATAATACATTTGACCGAAGCTAAATATTGGTGTTATATCTAGGCACGTAGCCAGGATCAAAATATATATGGGCTCTGTTTTAAAGACCGGATCGGACCGAGACCCGGCAGCTTCTCCGATCCGGTTAAGGTCTTAGGGGTTTTTGTAATATTTTAAAATTATAAGGGTTAATTTGTAATTTTATAGGGGTGTTTTAAAGATATGTCAACAGTTTAGAGATTAATTAGTAATTTTTGGGGCATTTTTGAAATAAATAAAAAATTTTGGGACTAATTTGAACTTTTTAGGGGAGTAATATATTAAAATTTGAGGGATTAATATGTAATTTTTAAAAAATAAAATTATCGCTGACGTCATCGGTCTAACCGATTGACCGGTTGACCCGTGACCCGGGTAGCAAAACGGGTTGCCCTCCAATCCCGGTTTTAAAACAATGATATAAAGAGCTCAAGCACTGTAATAATTAAAGCTTATATTGACGCTGCGATTATCAAAAGAAATTATAATAATAATAGATTGTACAGAGTATAACATGCATTGATATTCATTTATAATTTTTTAAATAATAACATTTATAGTATTAATTTATAAAATACGGATAATATATTTCACTTCATAGAGTTAATAAAAAAAAAAGTTCCAAATTAAGTCAATAAAGACTTCAAAGTTTCATATACCTTTTATTATGGAATTTGTAGTCTATTTTTTTAACATCACTACTATACCTGGACCGATTGGATATTGTATCAAAGATTCAAAATATAGACTTTTTAATTGTTAACAATTTGATATTTCAATGATTGATCTTAATGCTTACCTTCATCATGACTTTTTAAAATCTAGACTTTTTAATTAGTTAATAATTTCTTAGTTTTTTTTTAATAAAAAATATTGAGAAATAAAACAAGTGACTATAGCTAAATTTGACTAACAAATTATAAAAACAAGTGACTATAGCTAAATTTGACTAACAAATTATATGAAAGAGCATTAAATATTGGTAATTTCAGAAAATAGATAAAAAAAAAAAATGTGACTCTTAGGACAAGTGCATTGGCCTGGAGGCTGGAGCCCCCTGGTCAGTTGGTAGAGGGTTTTCTGGAGCAACATCACCCTCTACAAGGTTCGCATAAAGAGTTTGTAAACGTGACACTGGAGGGTGGTCATCCAAATATTACTGGGTTTTCCGTTAAAGTCTTTCGAACCATCGCCAGTAAGAATTATTTACCACATACATTGAAGTATGATCTTATTCCATTTTAACGGCTCCTATAATTCTATGGTCGAGCAAATTCATTTGAAGGTAAGATATCCATTGATAGTACTTATAAGTATTGGTACATATATCTGGATTAATTATATCTCAATTAATACATATTGCATCTTTACAACCAAAATTGACTTGAGAAGATACGGCTATAGTAGTAGCCAATCGTTGCAATTGTACAGAATTCTCTCGACCTTACTCTGAACAGATGGTTGCTCGCAAACGTAGAAAAGCAGGGGGAGCATGTGCATGGTTGTTTCACCACTCACATGTGGGCTGCAACTCATTTTGTATAACGGATTCGTTGTGTGGCTAAGCGAGCGGAAACACCATCCAGAAATCACCACCTGGCACTAAATTGGATCCATGGTTTCACTAGCCTTCACTACATTGTTCTCGTTGCAGGGTAATAACTTCTCATGTAATTTATATCTCATATTTGCAAGAGTCATGGTTAATTTTCTTAATTTGTACAGGACTGAAACTGCATAACAATTTGTCTCGGATGACAATGGTCGTATGATTATTTCTGGCATTGATAATCACATCAACGATTTGATCAAGTTGATACACTAATTAGGACCGGAGCTAAAGTTCGGTGCGAGGGAGGGTCCTTTGTTGTGCAGTATTTGCAGGATGCATTACACTTTTACCCTACCAACATTAAGAAAATATATTCGGAAGATGATTATCGTAATGACCTTATGAGTGGAAATATAGCTGCTGCAATTTCTTGAGATTCCATATGTTTTGGATTTGTAAGTGTTGATCTTTTTTTTTAATTTTAAAATTGTTGGATTGATTTGAACAGTTGGTGCATTTCCTGCATGTTTATTACTAGGCCTTTCGAAAGATCCGTTATTCCTGACATCTCCGAAGCAATTATAAGATTATCTGAAAAGGGAGAATTGCAAAAGCTGGAAAGTTCATTGATGTCCCCCTACAATTGCTCAGACAATTCGGAGAAAGATAATGATCTGGATAGTTTGGGACCACTTAGCTTCGAGGGTCTGTTTATGATAACTATAGGAACATCCACAATTGCTCTACTTCTCTTCATTTTCCATCAATGCAGTTGGCATCGTATTGTTGGACCAGAACCACACAACAGCTATGGCGCAGATGGAATTTTGGTATAAACAAGCCCACTGACGACCACGTACAGCCGCACCCGCACCAGGCCCGTCATGGACTTGATTACCGTTAATCTGCTTGGGAAATGGAAAATCAAGGCTTTATCCTACCTTTGACTCTGTTTTGTAGATATTTTCGGTAGGCACGAGATGCTTCAGTTATATGAGTACATATTTATGTTCTTTCCTCGAATTAAGGTGTCAATTATTTTTATGCTTCATATTAGTTGTACCTGCCGTGTGCATATATATATATATATATATATATACATTGGTGTGGTTGGCATATATAATTATGATGTTCCACCACAACCACCCATAAATATTATTATTCATGCAAATGAAGAATGGTTGATGAGGATGAGGATGAGGAAGAGGAACCAACCACATCCAGATATTAACACTGCTTCGTAATGGGAAAATCAACGCATCAAATATTACTATAATGCATGCCCTTCATCAGTGTATATTTTTCTACTTGATTTTCTTTTCTTTAAAAAAAATATAATTTGTACTGTAGTAGCATGCATTTTAAATATGTTAAACAGAAATATTATTAATCTGCACTCCATAGTAGCTAGTGCCATTCGTTAGCCAATAACAATGTGAAAGAAAGAGTTCATATAAGTATGTTTTTATTGGTTAGCTTTAATTCGGGAACTGTGAAAGTAGAATGTACACTTTGTTACATAATAATCGAGTCAGTTGTTATTCGGTAATAAACAAAAAAATATGATATAATCCAATTTCCTAATCTTTTCTTACTAGTTAATGTGATTATTACGTCAATTGATGACTTTGATTAAACATAAATAATTATTTTTTATATACAAACTCTACTCCTTGAAAACAAACGACTATTCATTTATAAGAAATGATTGTTTCATGCATAAATAACAACAACTCTTTAAGAAAAATGATTGTTCATCTGTAAGGAATGATCGTTCATCCTTAATAAATGATTATTAAAATCATTTAATATCTAAAATATGGTAGGAGTTGACGTAACAATCGTCTGTCACATTAAAATTATAAGAGAAAAACGTGATATTAAATTGTAAACATAGTATTATTCATTATTAAAATATGGATAATAATGATTTTAAGTGGTCCTCCAAGCGCCTACTCCCAATAATAATAAAATATATTTTCTATTTCCCCAAACACACTTGAAATTGAAAACCTTTTACAAGAAATAATTACTAACTAATTAACCTTCATATTATGAATAAAAGATTAATCCAAATGAGGTCTTCTAAACTGCACTCTATTTACAATTGGCAATATACATTTCATTTTTCTTGTTTTGACAAATAAACATCATTACAAACCAAGAAAAGCCACTGAATAAAGTACAAAAATCTGACAGCAAAACCACTAGCCTAAGCCCGACCATCATCTTCCTTTCATACATCCCAATACAAGCGGCCCCTTTGCCTTCCAAACGCACACCTTATCATTTGAAAAAGAGAATAAAAAATTTTAAAATAATTAATAAAGTAAAAACCACATTCCTTCCTCCCAATCAGTCAAACCAAAAGACAAACTACAGTTTTTTTTACTTCTTTGAAACAACAGCTGCAGCTGCATCTCCTTTCTTTTTCTTTCCTGGATTTAATTAATGAAATCTCAACCTGCAACCCTCACTGGTCCCAAACTTACAAGTAAAACAATCATGTCAATGTACATGTATCATGTGGCTTCAACAGCTACACAGGATAGCCTTATATTTTCCTCCTTCAATTTGACTCTTTCCCATTCAATTCCTTCACATTGAGGAGGAGACCAAGACTCGAGCATCAACACAAGCAAGTAGCTTGTGGGCTAACTGTGGTTTCATTGCTACATTTCTTTCTCTTAATTAAGTCTTGATCAGTACAACCATACTGAAAGGAGCCATGGGACATCGAGTCTCACGTCTTGTGAGATTCAAACATTGAGAAGCTGTTCTTTTTCCATGGAGGGTTTGGCATCAGCAGGTTGTGCTGGTGCTGGTGAGGCTCCAGGATTTTCCATCTTTTTAAGACTCTGTTGGTGGTACACTTGCCTCAATCTTTCTATTTCTCTCTTCAGAGCTTCTTGATGAGCTGCATAAAATTTTTAACAAGCACAAAAAGATAGATGTTAAAGCCTAATCGATCCATTATATATTATTGTTATGCATGTGACAACCCACATGCTATCACAGATGTATGTATATATATATATATATATATATACAGCTACTTTCTTTTCTGTACTTAATCTCCTATCTCTATCTGTCACCTTCCATCTAAATAATTGTATAAAAACTACCAATGCAACATTCATGAGAAAAACCTAACAATTCTGCCAATTTATTAAGAAACTTCAATAAGATTTTAGTACTGTCCCTTTAGTACATTCCTCTCAGTAATAGTGTTTTATTAAAATATTTAGCTACAACTAAGTTGATATATCCCTTAATTGAGAGACTAATAACCCATGATTAAAGAACGAAAAACTTAAATTATGGAACTAATATGCATAGTTGCAGAATTAAGCAGACTTACCATCTTTAAATATCTTGTCTTGAGCCAATGCAGCGATTCTTTGCTTAAGAGCACTGTTATCGACATTGAGAAGCAACCGTTGATGGTCGAGAAATGCAACACGTGGCGACAACACCGAGACTTCGGCCTTCAATTCAGCAACAAAACCCAGAAAACAATAAAATTTTAGCATGCGGTAATCATAATTATAGTTTTTGCATTACCCAACTTCAAGAGAAAGCATCTACATACTTGTAATGATGTAACACTACGTTCAAGCTCCGATATGTATTGTAGCTTCCGCACTCGTGATCTTTGTGCAGACTGTCTATTTGCCAAGATTCTACAGAAATCAATCAGAAACAAACAAATGCATGTCATTATCAAACAATAATTAATCAACTTAATATATAATCAACAACATTATTAATTATTCAAGTTAATGTAAAGTTTATTAATTACCTCTTGACCCTCTTAGGATCAACTATCCTATCAGAGGACGTGTTTGATGTGGTGTTAGGTGGAGCTTGAGTCTCCGTTTTGCACTGGCTCTGCACCTCATCGGATTCATTCCTTATCTGCTGTTTCTGATCGGAAGGTGTATCTTTCTCGTCATTAATGCTATTGTGATCTGACGGTGTAGAGGGGTTGGAGGATGAGACGGTGGGGGCCACGGCATTTGGCATATCATCAGTGAACATAGACATGAACTGTTCGTCATCAAATTTATCAAACTCGTGATTAGTACCGGACCCGGGACGCCCGCCTGAGCCACGACATTCATCCAGCATTGGCGCCTCGAGGAAAGCAATGGAGTCGCTGGCGGAGCGGCGATGAGTTCCGCGTCTTGCGGAGGAGAAGTCAAGGAACTCGTCCACCCATGAAGGGTTTTGTGGTGTGCTACTGATGTTGGCCATTGACGGCATCTTCTGGTGGTGAAAGTCAGGCCAATTTGGCGGCATGTTGGGGATTTTAGGAGGCAATTGTGCCATATAAAAGAAGTGAGAAAGAAATGTTGACAAGAGAGAAAAAGTATGGACAAGGAGACAACAACACAACACAAGACGAGAGCAAACCAAATGAACTTGTATAAGAAAGGTTTGTTTAATATATATAGTGAAATGTAACGTAGTGCTGATATTAAAACTGAGAAAGAGAGAAGAAGAACATGATGAAGGAGGGGGGTGAAAAAGAAAATGTTATATCTTTTATCTTTCTCTGAAAGTGGGAGCACTGGGGTCACATGGGGGAAGATTGGACAGCTATGTACAGCTGGTAGGAGGTTGGGTCTCAACGGTATAACTGGAAAGTCGCCAGTAGTTTATTAACGAAGAGGAATCAGCAACCACGTGCCTTTGTGACCATCTCTTTAGTGCCCTACTTATAATAGTCTCATTATTTTACAATCCATGGAAACATATTCCCATGTTCATCATCTCTTTTCTATTCTAACATCCCTCTATTTACCACCCTCTGATTTTTGAAAGTCAAACATGGTCAACCTTCTTGGATAACATCTAATGGCCTATTTATGTTAGTACAAAATCTGTTTTAAAGTTAAAATTCAGTTCTTCAGTTACTCAAAGATAAGATACGATCGTTTTTGTTTTGACTTTTGTGGACTATTAATATTACACACTCCCACCCAAAAATAAATAAAAACGATTTTTGTTTATATTTTATTTTAAGACACGATGTTCAAACATAAAACATAAAAAGTCTTTCTTATCCCATTCCCAACCAGTTATAACCTTAAAATTAAATTAAAAGGGTTATAGTTAAAGGAGGATGTGGTAGGGAGGCCTTAATTGGAGTTGGAAGGCAGAGAGAATGGGTTATTTAATGGGCATACCCATGTGCAATGGAGCATATAATAAGAAAAGTTTGGGGAGATGAGCTATGAAAGGGAAGGAATTGGGATTGTAAGGGATCATGTCATTGTATTTGTATGAAGGCATGTGAATTGTTTGCACGCTCTAAGCTTTCTTTGCTTTGTCCCCAAAACATACGCACATGTAGGTACTGTGTCCTTAGCTAGTTCCATCGCTATCAATTCATCAATCTGGAATTTATGTTTTTATTTTTTTAATCTACGACTTGGGAGGCACTAATCGTCATTACTTTTATGTTTACCTTCTTAGTTATTTATGATTTTTTGCCGCCTTTCATCTCAAGGAAGTGCCCAGGCAGTAAAGCATCTTGAAAAACAAGTACACTTGGTATACTATATAAGAGGAAAATGCTATTCTTACAAATATCTATACAAAGAAAGTTACAAAGTGATATCATAAAAAAATAATAATAATAAAGAAAAAACAAAAAAAGAGAAGAGAGAGAGAGAAAAAAATCATGAAAATTAAGGGTGAGGATTGTCTTTGTATACCTCCTTTATATATGTCTTTGTAAAACTATCATCGCAGTATATAAAATGCATGTGACTATATCTGCAAACTCATTCATCCGAATTGATTGTCCACCAACTTTGCGCAATGGCTTTTGTTCTTTGTGTTTATTCCTTATCGACTGATGGGTTCTACCAATTCGGCTTATATTATACCCCATGTATCTCTTGTCGGACACACTATTATATCTAGCTTTTTACACGCAAATTATTCGAAACTTCACAATTCATGTTCAAATGAAACGGTGTCTGGATAGAATTTCTGTGGCAACCAAAACATAAGATTTAAGGCTGATATTAATGAATTAAGTAAAATTTTAATAATTTTATATATGTTAGGGAGTATTTGAACTTAGGCTGTTATAAATATTGCAATAATTATGACTTAACGAGACTAAAAATTGCTTAAGTTGATTACTAATCTCTTTTCTCTGGCTAAGCAGATCCACCCTACTCAATTTCTCCAACTCCACCTAAAAGAAAACGTTTTATCACGAACAAACACAATGTAACATGCATGATAATCTTTCTATATTATAATTTTTTATACAAATCAAACTTTCCTAACTTGACACAATTAGTGGTGCTCAATTGATTTGTTTATTAATGGGTTTGATGGTCGACATAACATTTGGCGCTTTAAGTGATTATTGCCATAATAATGTATCAAGGATGAATAATATATGGGTGATGCTACATGTTGTCTGTGGTTTTTCAGCCAAACTCGGATCGACGCGAGGATATAGCTCAACTTAGAATGACCTCGGTGATTATGATTGCTCAACCCAACATAAGCTCGTCAAGCCATAGCTCGACCCAGCACAAGTTAGTCACGGAGAACCTGAATGATTATTCAATCAATTCCCAAATAACTTCAGATCCTAGATATTACGGGAACAATCAGATTAACAGCAATCTTTGCGCAATCTTAGAACCTAATCGCTAGAATATCAGAGTTACAGTCCCAATCAATTGTAATCCTTTTATTTTTGCTCTTTTTTTTATGTAAATCTTGTATATATATCCCCTAAAACGATGAGGAGGGGGATACCAAATTCTAGTTTAGAAGTTATATTGTAAGCTCTCACAGCAAATAAGTAAAACACAGTGGACGTAGGCTATTAAACTTTGCCGAACCACTTTAAAAGTCCTTCTTGTCATTTATTTTCTAGCATTTTCGTTTACTCATAGCTGATTACCCATAATCACGCACACATCTGTTCCGATCCCGACAAGATCAATCGGATCTCGCTGGTTGATACAGATTTCTGTATCAACACTACACTTACAACCTAATCTCATAAATTTTCTCTCACAACCTCGACTCGTCAGTTTGTAGTTGGGCAACTCGTAATTGATCAAGCAGGACTTATTACGAGTTGGCAAATTGTGAGCTACCATATTAGAATTGTAAGAGAAAGTTTGTGAGATTATATTGTAAACCAAGTTTATGAAATTAGATTGTAAGCCAATTTTTATGGATAATATATAACAATTAGGTTCGCCATAACGGTGCAAATTTAAACAAAATTCTCCACAACTAACAATCAGTTAGCATAAATTTGACACTTCCACGTTTAAACCCCGCCAAATCCGTGTCAGGCTTCTATAAGATAATACCCTTTTGCATAAAAAATAGGCTGGTTTTCAGGAATGACAACCCAATACTCAAACTTGGGTTCGCATACTGAGAAGTCGTGTCTAGACTCTAGATGCACAAATTAACCACTAAAACTCCAATAAACCAATAATGTTCTCGGAGCTTTAAGCTTAGGCTCTTAGCTAGTTAGCTATTCTCATCTTACCAATATCAAACAAATCTGGACGTTGTAGTTAGGGGTGGAAAAAAAAAATCGAAAATCAGACCGAAACCGGTCCGAAAATTCGGTTTTTTATCGGTTTCGGTTTGCCACATTTTGTAAACCGAATATTCGGTTCTGTTTCGGTTTTTTGAAATAACAAAAACGGTTAACCGAACCGGATTTTTAAACCGGTTTAATGAATAAAAAAATAATTTTATATTTTTCAATTTTTAAAAAATTTATCTCTAGGTCTTCACTAATGCGCATTTTCAAAAATTCAATTTTTTAAAAAATAATTTTATATTTTGCGCATTTTAAAAAAATTTATCCCTAAGTCTTCACTAATGTAATTTTAAATTATTAATACTTGATATGCATTAAAATTATATAAATTCAAATTATTCAATTACAATAAATATAACTTTAATTCAAGTTAAAAAAAACCTGGAAAAAAATGGGTCAAAGTGGAGGGTTTGACAGAATTAGTCCGAACAAATATAGCCTATTATAATTAACCGGTTAATCAAACCGAATTTTCGATTCGGTTTTAAACCGGTTTATAATCAAAACCAGATCGGTTTGGGTTTAAATTTTTTTTTATACCGAAAACCGGTCCGGTTCAAGATACCGGTTTGATTAACCGGTTTTTTCCATCCGTAGCTGAGGAAATCAAAACATGATAAACCTTGTAGCGAAACTAACACGCACAAAAGATGTGAACAAAAACTATAGACAAACCAAAACTGGAAAATCTTGCACGCAAGTATGAACAGGCAATATAGATGAACTGCAAATATCTATTTCATGGTTTTTTTTTTGGTCTAAAAGCAATGCATTCATTCTATTAAGGAAAGTGATACAAAAGGAAGTCAACACATTAAAGAAAATCAGAAACTGAAATCTGCATGAATGATTTGCAATTACTGTAGAATATTTGCTGTCATAGTTCTCTGTTTTTGAAATATTGTAACTGATGTATATCCTAGGAATTTACTGCTGTACATTTCCAAAATAGGATCACAGACTTGTATATATTACTCTGTAAAGTTTCAATATTATTAAGGTGGAAGCTTCCATCTTAATATCCTTGCAGTGTTTCTATATCGAGCCAGCAATGGATATGCACATGATATTAAGAAATGCTGGTTTTATTCTCTTTGTTTTGTGGGTTACATGGATGCCTTCCGGGGCAAGGTCTGGAAACAACCGACCTGAAGACTACGATCCATCATCCATGCAGGAGAGGTATGAGAGATGGCTGGCACGAAATGGTAAAGAATATGCTACCCGAGATGAATGGGAAATGCGATTTGGAATCTACTCATCCAATGTTCAGTTCATTGACTTCATCAATTCTCAAAACTTATCATTCAAGCTGACTGACAATCAATTTGCTGACTTGACAAACGAAGAGTTTAAATCTATCTACTTGGGTTATAGGAAACCATCGAATCCAAGGAGGTTTGTTAAAAGCTTGTCTTCAGGTTCACCACCAACACCAAGTGTAGATTGGAGAAAGAAAGGCGCTGTAACTCCAATCAAGAATCAAGGCTATTGTGGTACGAAAAACTTACAATTCATAGACTTTTTAAATACATACTTAAACAGAATAAGGAGTACCGCAGAAATACATGCCTTAAACCCCCTTTCTTACAACCATGGTGCCTGAACCTTAAATTCAATACATACTTTTAAATATTTTTTTGATAGTGTATAAGCTAGTTTAAAGAAGATGCGCTTTTCATTTAAAATTGAACAGTTTGTTATATGTGCAAGGATTGTACATGAGCAATATCTTACATTTTATGCAGGAAGTTGTTGGGCATTTTCTGCTGTAGCAGCTGTAGAAGGCATCAACAAAATCAAAACAGGAAAATTGGTATCTCTATCGGAGCAAGAACTAGTGGACTGCGATGTTAACAGTAACAACCAAGGATGCAATGGTGGATTAATGGAGAAGGCATTTGAGTTCATTAAAAAGAACGGTGGTTTAACCACGGAGAATGATTACCCTTACATGGGTAAAGATGAAACCTGTAATAAAGCGAAAATAAAAAATCAGGCAGTGACAATAAGTGGATATGAAGCCGTAACTGCTAATAACGAGGAAGACCTAGAAGCTGCCGTTGCCAAACAACCTGTATCCGTTGCAATTGATGCGGGTGGAAATTCATTTCAACTCTATTCCCATGGTATTTTCACTGGAGTTTGTGGACATGAGCTCAATCATGGAGTCGCAGTAGTTGGTTATGGAGAAGAATCTGGTAAAAAATATTGGATAGTGAAGAATTCTTGGGGGAATAACTGGGGTGAATCTGGCTATATAAGACTGGAACGTGATTCCAAAGACAAAAGAGGTACTTGTGGCATTGCTATGGAGGCTAGCTATCCTACTAAGGCTTGAGCTGCGTTTAGGATGACAGACTTCACCTCAATAAGCGTATATATTATATGCAATTCAAATGAAACAATGAATTTGAAGAGTTTAAGCTGCAAAAAAAAATTATATTGAGCAGACTAGTGAAATGCCCAGCACAAATAAATAGTTTATAAAAGAGCCATTACTGATTTTGCTGGCTGATAATAAAAAGTAATATTCATAGATAAGTTAACGGTTAGTTCCCAGAAAATTATCTTCATTGCACAATTTCAACTCTCTACTTTTTTTCTATTTTTATTAATCCTTGCTTACTCATCGAAGATTTGATCCATGGTTTCACTAGCCTTCACTACATTGTTCTCGTTGCATGGCAATAACTTCTCCCAAATACAAGGGAATAGGTTAACTTTTTATAACTCGAGAACAATGCTAAAAGAAATTCTTAATTCAAACTAGTTAAATATCATTTTAAGAATGCTAGCTCACAGAACTCAAACTTAGAAATTTTCACTACTCTTTAATCTCAATTCATGCGTATTTTATAAACTTTTTTTTTTTTTTTTTAAATAATTTTGAGATATTACGATGATAGAGAAAGGTTCAGTGTTATAGTATTAATGTAATTGGTAACGATGATCGTAAGGTGATCATAATAAAGAAAATGGAAAATTAATTTGAAGTATTTTATCAGAAACCTTGTGCGGATTATTAAAAATAGTGGTAAATTTGAAGAGTGATTTAAGCTAAGGCAAAAGATCCAAATCTCCGATTTTATGGATGATGAAGGACAATGATTACCAGTTCCTTCCAATGACCTCCTTGGAAGGTTTGGGGAATGTTTTATTGCTGAAAATATAGGATATATTACTAATTAAATAGATTATTTTGAAGATTACAGAGGAATGTTACATCAATATGTTTGGTTAGATTAGTAGATATAAATAATTAAGATGTTTGGTTGTGAAGAATAAAATATTATCAACAGAAACTTTTACTGAATTGTCCTTCCATTTTAATATTATTATTATTATTATTTAAATGAATTACTTTTAGCACCTTATATTTGAGAATTTAGCTAAAACACCCGAAAACAAAGTTTAAATTTTAACAAAATACCCTCAACCACTCAAGACCACCGTTGGCTGCTAGCGACAGTCACCAAAACGGCACATGATCGGCAAGATTTGGTCGGCCGTGCCAAGTTTTTGCTGTTTCTGCTAACTCCTCGACGATCTAGCCATTTTTGGCCTTCGATGTGGCCGAAAACATCAAGATTGGCACACGGCCAGCCAAATCCCGTTGATCTGACTATTATTGTGGGTGGCCGATGGTGGTCTTTGGTGGCTAAGAGTATTTTGTTAACTTTTAAATTTTTTATGTTTGGTGTGTTTTAGCTAAATTCTCAAATGTAGGGGGTCTGGGTAATTGTTATTTAGTAGACATTTGAGGGCAATTCGGTCCAAAATGGCTTTTATTTAAGGGCAAATTTGGTTTTTAAAAAAAAAAAAAAAAGATAACCTTGGTAAAAAAAGAATAACACCCCTAGACTAGGTAATCTGATAACTGCCAAAATGATCAACAATATTCACTATTGAGAATAAAATATTCCCGTAATCTTATATTACTATCAAACCCAACAAAAGAATATTGAATCAAAGATAGAGATAACAAGAGTTATCTGCCCATAACTGAAACCAAACACAGCCAAAGAGTAATCAATCTTTCTAAAAAATCCACTGCCGGCGCACATAATTGGGCAATCTAGTTTAGTAGCGTTACACACAACAAATGTTTGTTGCAATGTGGCTAAAGCCTCCTTCAATTCCTGACACACTCTCGGAATGGCCCCGGATTCTGATTCCTCTAACATCCTTGTGAAATCCACTGCAAATCTTTCTGATGAATCTTTGCTCTGATCACTAACGGCTTTGAAACTTCCTTCTCTGACGTCTTTCTACACCACGAACCCCCATTTCGTCGTCCTTTTAGCTATGCTAGCTCCTGCTAGTATTTTATTCCCTTTCGTCTCGAGACTAGTCCCATTCGATTCCGTCTTGCCACCACTCTCTTCTTTTTCAAACACCATCCATTTGTTAACAGAGTCCTTGTTGCTACTGATATTGAAAGCAGCAGTTTTTTATGATCCTTCCTGTTTGACACTACTCGATTGTCCAACACCATCACTTGCTCTCAATTAATCTTCGTTGATCTTTGACATCATTTGCAGATGATTTTGGAAGCTCCATTCTCCGAAATTTCTATTACGTGAAACAGAATGCTGCATGTTTTACCCAAGTCAAGAAACAATACAACAGAAACAAAACAAGTCCGGCGTATAATATTAAATGAAATAACTTGAAGCTGGAAACTGAACCAGAGTGTTCCCCTGAATTTAATGAATTTTATTATCTAGAAAGTCTAAAACTGAAATCTTTTTTCCTAAATTTGAACTACACATGCATACTGATATAACAACTACTTTTGGATTTTGATTCTACAAGGAATGAATTTCCATTAACTTGTGTGAGAATTATAGGTTTTTAGCCAGATAATACTAAAAGAAAACGAAGATGAAAACAGAGCACTTAATATGAATTTTTGAAAATCTCAGTTTTGTATTCAAACTTATCAATATATACAACATGCTTTACAACTTAACCACTCTCTGCTGATTCAACAACTACAGCAGGTAATACAATTCAAATTTGAAATCTTAACAACTAATATTGTTTTTACAAATTACATCGAAAATATTAACTTAATTACACTTAAACCATTCTACTGCAAAACACAAAAACCATGCAGACATGCATGTTGGACCACTGCTGCATGAAGCCTTCTGCATCTTCCAAAAACAATCCTGTAGACTTGAGTATTGATCCATTTCCAGCAATGCATCACTATATCAACACTCCCCCTTGATGCATTTGCTGGAAACACCAAGTTTGAGTCTAAGTCTCTCGAACTTGGCTTTAGGCAAACTCTTAGTCATGATATCTGCAATCTGATCCACACCTCGACAGTGTATCAAAGTCACTTCCCCATCATTTTCAGCCTCCCTTACTGCATGAAATTTAATCTTAATATGTTTGGTCTTGTCTTGGAGAACTGGATTCTTTGCCATTGCCACCACTGATTGATTATCACACAATATTGGTGTTGGCTTACCTTGATCCAGCTTCAAATCAGACAAAATTTTTCTGAACCAAGTAGCTTGGTTCACTGCAGCTGCGGCAGAAATGTATTCTGCCTCTACAGTGGACTGAGCCACCGAGTCTTGCTTCTTTGACAACCAACTAATGGCACCTTCATTGATGTAAAACACATACCCTTAGGTACTTTTCATGTCATCTAAAGAACCTCCCCAGTCACTGTCTATGTAACCCTGGAAAACCAGGTTTTCTGCCCTTTTAAACCAAATGCCAAGGTTTGAAGTTCCTTTTACATACCTTAACACCCTCTTTGCTACCCTATAATGTGATTCACTTAGACAACTCATAAATCTAGAGAGATAGCTAGCTGCAAACATCAGGTCTGGACGTGTGGCTGTTAAATAGAGCAAACATCCTACCAGACTTCTAAACATGCTCTCATCCACTCTTTTCTCACCATCATTCTTGCTCAGCTTCAGGTTAGAAACTAAGGGTGTATTTGCAGGTTTGCAATTCTCCATCTCAAACTTTATGAGAACTTCATTTGCATACTTTTCTTGATACACAAATATCCCACTTTTGGACTGAAAAATCTGCATACCAAGGAAATATGACATCTCCCCCAAATCTGTCATCTCAAATTCAGATTGCATGGATTGTTTGAACTTGCTCAACTGGTCCGGATTATTCCCTGTCATCAGCAGGTCATCCACATACAATGACACAACAATTAAATCACCCTTAGCTTCTTTAACATAAAGAGTATGTTCATTTGGACTTCTTGCATAGCCTAGGCTATTAAGATGCTCATTTATGCGGCTGTACTAGGCCCTAGGTGCTTGTTTTAGGCCATACAAAGCCCTCTCTAGCAGGTACACCTTTCTTTCTTCACCCTTCACCTGGTAGCCTTCGGGTTGGTTTACGAAAATCTCCTCATCCAAGTAGCCATTTAGGAACGCAGATTTCACATCAAGTTGGAAATTTTTCCAACCAAATTGGGCTGTCATGGCAAGGATCAACCTTATAGTATCATGTCTAGCTACCAGAGCAAATGTGTCAGTGTAATCCACCCCTTGCTATTGTGCAAATCCTTTTGCTATAAGCCTAGCCTTGTGTTTGTGGATTGTACCATCAGGATTGAGCTTTAATTTGTATATCCACTTTACCTGAATTATCCTTTTTTTTTTTCAGGTCTTTCAACTAACTTCCAAGTGTTGTTCTTCTCAATCATAGCAATCTCCTCCTACATTGCTTTCTTCCAACCATCTGATCCAGCAACTTCAGCATATGTTTTAGGTTCTAACACAGCAACATTGCACCTTGCATAAACATCAGCCAAGGTCCTGGTTCCTCGAACTGTTGGTTCCTCATCTGCTTCAGTTTCAGCTTCTTCAAACACATTTTTAATCGGCTGCAACATTTTCCAATCAGCCTCAATCTGTTTACTCTCCCAATTCCATATTGCATTTTCATCTATTCTCACATCTCTAGTTATCACAACTCTTTTTGTTTCCAAAATGTACACTTTGAATCCTTTTGATTGGTTGTTGCAACCAATGAAAATACCAACTTCAGCCTTGTTATCCAACTTGGTTCTCTTCAACGCTGGAACCATCACATAGCACACACTTCTAAACACTCTCAAATAGTCAACTGCTGGTTTAATTTCTGTCCACGCCTCAGCTGGTGTTTGCCCCTTGACTGCTTTGGTTGGCAGCCTATTCAGAAGATAAACTCTTATATTTACAGCCTCAGCCCAGAACCTCTTAGGAAGTTGTTTCTCAGCCAACATACATCTAGCCATCTCCATGATGTTCCTGTTTCTTCTCTCACTTACTCCATTCTATTGTGGAGTGTAAGGAGCAGTGAATTGATGTCTAATACCAACTTCTGAACAAAGCAAACTGAATTCCTTTGAAGTGTACTCAGTTCTATTGTCACTTCTAAAGGATTTGATCTTTGTTCCAGCCTCATTTTCAACCAGCAATTTAAACTTTCTAAACACTGCAGAGACCTCACTTTCTGCTGTAAAAAATACACCCATGTCATCCATGTATAATCATCTACAAAGAGTATGAAATACCTACTACCACTCAAGGATTCTGTTTGCATAGGACCACACACGTCTGAATGAATCAGTTGAAGCTTCATTGATGCTCTCCAGGTCTGATTCGAAGGAAATGTAGGTCTGCTCAATTTGCCAATTTGGCATGCACTGCATAAAGTGCTTTTCTCCTCAATTTCTGGCAGGTCATGAACCATGTTTGCATTCTTCAACTCTTTGAGGCCATTATAGTGATAATGGCCAAGCCTTTTGTGCCATGTTTCTAACTCTTCTAGCCTAGTTGACAATGCAAATTCATTGGTGTTTTTCCACTCAACCGGAAAGCTTTTCCTTAGCATCTTTACACTTATCAATTCAGCCCCTTTAGGATCTAATATGGTACATGCTTGGTTTTCAAAGTGTAAGGAATAACTCCTCTCTAGCATTTGTCCCACAGTCAATAGATTTTGACTAATTCTAGGAACATACAACACATGAGGAATTATTTTTGTACCTAACCAAGTTTGGACAGCAACATCCCCCAAGCATTTGACCTCCATGAATTCACCATTTCCTATCTTGACTCTGGAGCTGTATGATCTATCCAAGCTTACAAAATTTCGCAGGTCTACAGCCATGTGATTTGTGTAGCCACTATCAATTAACCAAGCTTCATTGCTAGTTTGTGCAGTGTAACAGGTGGCCACAAAAAGTTATTCAGCCTCTTGACATTGTTGTTGATCCTCTCCAACTTTTGCTTGCTATGTTGGCTGGTTTCCTTTGTTCTTACACACCCTTTCAATATGCTCGAATTGCTTACAACTCCTGCACTGTATACCAAACCTAAACCAGCATCTTCTCTACAGATGCCCTTTCTTTTTACATTGAGTACAGGCCGAAAATTCTTTCACTCCACCAGGCCTTTCCCACTGGTTACTACTCTTCTCTTTCCCCTTTCTATCTCCACCATACTTCCTTGTTTGTCCTTGTGCAGGTTTACTTTTGTAACTTGCAACCATTGCACCCTCATTAGTGTCTTCTTGCCTTATAAGTCTCCTTTATTCTTGCGCTTGGAGAGAATGAACAAGCTCAGTCAATGTGACCTGAGTCATGTCCTTAGAGTCCTCCAAAGAAGATATTTTGGACTCAAATCTTTCCGGAAGACTTACCAAAATCTTTTCCACAACCCTTCGGTCAGTCAACTCTACTCCCATTAGTCTGATTTTATTGACAACGCTCATTAGTCTATCAATGTAATCCTTCACTTTCTCAGCCTCTTGCATCCTTTGCATTTCAAATTCTCTCCTTAGATTTAGCACTTGCATCTTTCTTGTTGTAGTGCTTCCCATATACTCTTCTCTCAACTTGTCCCATGCTTATTTTGGGGTCTCAAATGCCATGATCTTTGTGAATACAAGGTCAGTCACAGCCGCATGAATATGAGAGAGAGCTCTAGGTGCTTTGATAGCTTCTTCTTCGATTGATCTAATCTGGTCCCAAGGGTGTTAGCTGTCTATTTTCTTCCACATACTGCCACAGTCCCTGCCCCCTGAGAAAGGCTTTCATCTTGACAGCCCAAATGTGGTAATGTTCCCCATTGAAGACCGGTGGAGCCATCAAGGCTGTTTGAGTAGTCATGCTCTATTTTTCGCGTCTGATGTAGAGAAGAAGAAAGTTAGATGCAGGTTAAGTTTTTGCTAAGAATGGAGTGTGTTGTTGAGTCATAAACGAAAGGCTTAGGATGCTAAGTTTCTGGTTTCTGCAAATAGCTCTGATACCATTTGTAGGTTTTTAGCCAGAGAATACTAAAAGAAAATGAAGATGAAAACAGAACACTTAATATGAATTTTTGAAAATCCCAGTTTTGTATTCAAACTGATCAATATATACAGCATGCTTTACAACTTAACTACTCTCTGCTGATTCAACAACTACAGCAGGTAATACAATTCAAATTTGAAATCTTAACAACTAATATTATTTTTACAAATTACACCGAAAATATTAACTTAATTACATTTAAACCATTCTACTGCAAAACACAAAAACCATGCAGACATGCACGTTGGACCACTGCTGCATGAAGCCTTCTGCATCATCCAAAAACAATCCTGCAGACTTGAGTATTGATCCATTTCCAGCAAGGCATCACTACATCAACAAGAATCGTTCAAATTCTTAACCGTAGTTATATCAAAGGAAAAAATATTGGTATGGCAACTGACAAAGAAAAGTAGTGTGGTATGACATGTGAGAAAGAGAATTGGAAAGGGAAGTGATTCTCACTGGTGTTGCAGATTAAAAAGAGCTCAAACTTTAACACAGAGTAGCTGAAATGGAGCCAATTATCCATTGGTGTTTCATATAAGCAAGTTCAGTACGTACGGATGAATTATTATCTGTGAAACTTTTCTTCTTTCTTTCTGTTGATACTGAATGAGCTGTAAAGAAAGGAACGTGGAGAGGGAGATAACGTTTAGATTTCATCATAAATGGGAGTCACAACTGCACTTTTTATTTGCCTTTTCTTCATGGCTTTCCATTCATGATCGTTGGCCGTCCATCATCTTCGTCTTTTGGCTTCTGAATGACAGAATTGAATTCATTTCTTGTGTGGACAACTAGCATAATAGCACAATTTTAAACTGTACGTAAAATACCCAAATTATGAGGCTGCAAAATACCTATCTGGCACTATTTGAAGATAAATTTCGCCATCACTTCGACTCTGGAAAATGAGTGCCCATTGCATATCAAACACACAAGGACCACGGCCTTGTAAACTTCCACTTCTTATAACAGTACCACAGTTTTAAGGCTTTATACCGTCCATAAAATTCCATTATCCAAATCCAATCACTCTGTTCTACATTTCTAGAACTATCATCTTTAGACTTTACTGTCTCATCAGACTGCTTGTTCTAGCCAATCCCCTTTTACATTTTGCTCATCACAGGGAGATTTGTCAAATCAAAATTCTGTTAATATAGCAATATGGTCAGGTGGGAAAAGTTTATTCAGGAGTTTAGGAATCTATAATTGGGTCTAATCGAGGTGAATTTCCATACTATATCAGGTTAAAGGCAACCCACTTTCAATTCAGTCTCATCAGTCCAACAACAAAAATAAAAACCCCACTCGTGTCATGTAGTGATGTTTTGAAGCATTAGGCCAGAAAACGTCTATAGCGGCCGGGTGGTAATCAAATGTGGCAGCAATTGCAGCCACAAAAGGCCACAACAATCACGTGGATACGTGTCTGTATGTGGGTCTTGGGCTACTCGAGATTTTGTGGTCTCTATTATCTGCCTTCGTTGTAACGTCTCACCAACCTATTCATGCTAAAATGTAGAATATATGATTGCCTTTCTTTAATCTCTTTCTCTTTTAGCCAGGATTAGTTTTTTTTTTTTTTTTTAAAAACACCTATGTTAAAAGACTAATCACAATGATTTCAGAAGAGAATAAAAAGAGAAACATTTATTTGTCTTATTGAGTTCCTCATTAGTACTTCATTCATTTGACAATCTAAAGAAATATTGAAGTACAATTTCAAGCATTGTTTATGTATGATTGCTCTTTGCCATCTATATAACCTTGCTGCACAAACCAAGCAATGCAATCGTCAAACATCTCTTCAATAGATTTGAACTTGAATCCCAAAGTGGTCAGTTTTGAAGTGTTGAACTCGTAGTATGGTCTGTTTAGTTCTTCAAACCTGAAAAAAGTTATCCGTGGCGTAAGTGGCAGGACAAAATAAAGAACAAGAAATTAAGATTATCCCATTTAGATTAAGGACCTTTGAGGCAAAGGAAGCCATGGATAACGTGATGACAAAAAGGATGCCAAGTCATTGTTATCCACCACGGTTGAGCTACAAAGGTATCGCCCACGACAACTTTTGTGCTCATAAACAAGGATGTGGCAAAGGGCAACATCATCTATGTGAACATATCCCATCCTGCCATGCCACTGAAATTTCTCTGTTGCTCCTGTTTGTTTTAAATGAATTAATAAGCATGCCATCAACTTATACTGATTGCGAAGAAAATCATATAGAAGATAATCAAAAACAAATTAACCTTAACCTTTTAGTAAGCCAAGGACATCAGATGCGGTAGAACTTAAATCAGGAGGCAAACTAGGTCCAATAACGAATGAAGGTAGAACTGTGACTAAATCAATCCCTTTCTCTTCACAGAATGCCCATGCAGCCCTTTCAGCCAGAGTTTTTGATAGAGCATACCATATCTTAACAATGACACTGAATATTGTTAGTCATTAACATGATTATATTGGAAAATTTTGTAAGGGATTGATGTCTTATTACCTGGAGTTTCTCGCATAGGTCGACAGAGCTCCAAGATGACTCATCAAGAGGGATTTGGGGGTCAAAATCATCTCTTGCTCTCACTGTTGAAGAAGATGAGGTGAGAACCACACGCCTTAGAGATGGATTTTTCGCACATGAACGTAGCACATTCAGTGTCCCCTTCACAGCTGGTTCTATGATTTCTACCTGCAGTTTAAAAGAAAACCATGCATGCGTTATCATCATCAATTGGTATTACTACTACTCTACATTATTTAGAATTCCCAATAAAAATTGATTGCTACAGAAACACAACATGCCTTGGGGTCAAATGAAGGTTTGATTACAGGGGAAGCGGTGTGAAAGACACCATGGCATCCCTTAATTGCTTCATCAAAGCTGCCTTCTTCCATTAAATTGGCCCTCACCAATTGCAGTCTCTCCTTTGCTCCTTCCAGCCTCCACAAATGTACTAATTTCTTCTCATTTTCTTAATAAAAAATCAAATAGGGTAATCTTGATAGTTCGTAGACATTGTTATCAAAAAGAAGAGTAATTAAGGGTTAAAGACAAACCTGGATCTCTAACTGTTCCAGTGACTTGATAGCCCGCCAAGAGAAGGCGCTTAACGAGCCAAGAAGCAAAAAAGCCAGAAGCCCCCGTTACGCAAACTTTCCCTTTTGTTTGATCCATTGGCTTCTTGTCATGCAGCCATGACAACCCAGTATATATATATATATATATGAGTTTCTCCCTTTTGACAGTTGAGCATTTGGCGAGAAGGTAACCATTCAACACTTGTGAATCATTATTATATTTTGAGGCGCAAAATACATCACTACCTTATTAATGTTTACAAATTACAATTAGGTAAGCAGATCGAAGTTGTTATTACATGTTATATGAAAGAAGTTTAACCAGTAAAGATTTGTTGTATTAAGAGTGAACAATGAATCTACAGAATACTTTATCAATATGTACACAAAGTGCTTGCTTCCTATATACATTACTAATCACGTAAAGCGTTTTTATATTGAAAATTTAAGGATCTAAAAATACTCATTTAAAATGAAACATCTTGTAACGCACACATGGAAGTATGTAACTTAATTTATGTTCTTATATCTTTAGTTGAGTTTTTGTTAAAGTTATTTTGAGAAAATGCGAAGAAAATGCCTTAAACTTGTATTAAGGGTAAAATGGTCTTTTCACTCAAAATTAGTTGAAAAAGTGGGGAGTGAAAAGAGATAGAATTTTATGGAGAATACAATAAAATGAGGGCATTATGGTAATTGAATAAAGGACATAGATGAAATTTTAAAGAAAGTGCAAGGGTAAAATGGGAAACTATATTTAATTTTATGTTATATCAAGGATTGAAGAGTGAAACCCTAGCCACTCTTTAACCCATTTTCACGCCACCGTCTCCTCCAAATCCTCTCAATTTCTTCACTTCTTTTTCAAAAGAAATTCATAGATTTTGGGTATTTTTTGAGTGGATTTTCAATCCCAAGCATCGTTAGGTAAAATCCTTGCACTAAGAAGTGATTTTTTATTTTTAAAGTGTTGAATTTTGATGGTTTGTGCTCATAGGATTTAAGAGGAAGAGAGTTTGATCAAAGAAGATTCTTTAAGGGTTTTATTGCTCATATCAAATGTAAGTAAATCATACCCTAAGTATGATTTAAGTTATGTTGTGTAGAGAATTTTCTTTATGCATATATATGTGTTATATGTAGAATTGTTGATGGATTTGGTGTTGAATAATTATTAAAACCTATCCATGAGAAGTTGTGTTGGTGTATTTAATTCTTAATGAATGTTTGGTTGAAATTTGGAAGAATTGAAGTGGAAATTTTTGGAGTGTGTTTTTTGTGCAGATTTGGCGTTAATTATGGAGGATGTTATTCCAATTTTTTTGTGGCTTAGAATAGAGATAGAAGTGTAGCCAAATTAACGTTGATTTGTGCACATGAATTGTTTGATGAAATGCCAAAGAGAAGTGCATGTATGAGTATGATTATGTGTTATTTTGGGATGAGTTTGTAGATGGTAGAGAATGACATGTTTGCATTCCATAATGCATAATTGCATTTAAATGTGTGAATATAGAAAGAATTATAAGCATGAAACCATCTACATGCATACATATTCATAAGAGCATGAAAATTTTTTTAAATATGTTAAAGAGAAAATAGAAAGAAATGAGAATATTAAAGATATTCAAATCTGAATTTTTATTTAAAAAAGTGTAAAAAAATAAAAAGAAGAGAAGGTTGTTGTGATGGGGAGTCCGTGAGTGACACAGCCTCACATGCACGCCGCCTTTAGTAAGCGGCCTCAGAATTCAGAAAGAGAAATTGTACAGTCCGTTAGAAGTGCATGTGGATGAGGACTATACCCAGAATTAGAGAATTTACTCACACGGTCAAAGCTCTAAATCCATGCCTCAACCGAGTCCGATCGGCAAGAAAAGAAAGAATAGAAAAAAAGAAAGAAAGAAATAATAGAAAAGAAAGAAAGAATAGAAAGAAAAGAAAAGAAAAGAAAGAATAGAAAGAAAAACTAGAAAAGAAAGGAAATGAAGAAATAAAGAAAAATGAACAGGAAACAGAATAAGAAAAAAATAGAAAAGAAAATGCATAATCTATGCATTTATGCATTTGCATTATGAATTTGCACAATACCATGCTCATTATCATGAGTAGTAAAAATTAGAAAATTGAGAGAAAAACAGAGAGCAAAACAGAGAAAGAATGAGAAAGAATAGAGAAAGAACGGAGAGAAGAACAGAGAAAGAATAGAGAATACTCGGGAAATGAGTTGTAAGGAAAGAAAATTCAGAACTTAAGTAACGAAGAGAGAAGGGTAGCATAGCGGGTTTATTTACTGAGCAATTATTGCTCACTTCATTGTTTTCAATATTTTTGCAGGTAATAGGTGAATTGCGGTTGCTTGGAATGTCACGTAGTGGAAAATTTAAGGATCTAAAAATATTCATTTAAAATGAAACATCTTCAATGGGGTCACCAACTTGATGGAGCAGTGCCCATAATCACAAGAGTCTTGAGACTGTTTTAACATTAATCATGTTTGCTCTTTCACATATTTGCCTTGGTATAGATGGAGACTATTATGGAGAAGATTGTTGACTTCAATGATCAAATTAGTCGGACTTATTTTAAAGTCACGAAGTTTTTTTCTTTTTGTCGTTTTGATAAGATTTCAAAAACGCTTATAGAATTTAAAATAAACTATTTTACTACTTATAAGAGAGGCTTAAAATTTATGTTTTTCCGAGAAACTCTTTTTTGAGTATCATTATTTTATTTTAAATATTTGACTTGATTTATTTTTGTATATTGAAACCTTTTTTGTAAATTAACATTGGAAAATCCTTTTACATTCTTTTAATCATACAATAACAACTTTTTTACAAAAATTATATTTTGTTAAGTTCTTCTTCAAGAAGCTTTACTCGGGTAAACCATACCAAACAAACCCTATTTTAAGAGCAAAATACAACTTAAGTGGGAGATATTTCATCATCTCTTTTCTATTCTAACATCCCCTATTTATCACCATCTTATTTTTGAAAGTCAAAGATGGTCAACCCTCCTGGACAACATCTAATGGCTTATTGCCTGTTTATGTTGCGCTTCTTAGTACAAAATCTCTTTGAAAGTTTACTCAGAGATAAGCTACGATCGTATTTTTTTTGTTTTGACTTTCGTGGACTGTTATTACACACTCCCCACTCCCACCCAAAAGTAAATAAAAACGATTTTCGTTTATATTTTATTTTAAGACACTGTTTTCAAACACAAAACAGAAAAGTCTTTCTTATCCCATTCCCAGCCAATTATAACCTTAAAATTAAATTTAAAGGGTTATAGTTAAAGGAGGATGTGGTAGGGAGGCCTTAATTGGAGTTGGAAGGCAGAGAGATAGAATGGGTTATTTAATGGGCATACCCATGTGCAATGGAGCATAAATTCAGAAAGAGTTGTCCCATATTATAATCATAATAAGAATAATATACAGAAAGAGTTGCTATGGAGGCTAGCTAGGCTTGAGCTGCGTTTAGGATGACAGACTTCACCTCAATAAGCTTATATATTATATGCAATTCAAATGAAACAATGAATTTGAAGAGTTTAAGCTGCAAAAAAAAAAAATTATATTGAGCAGACTAGTGAAATGCCTTAGCACAAATAAATAGTTTATAAAAAGAGCCATTACTTATTTTGCTGGCTGATAATAAAAAGTAATATTCATAGGTAAGTTAACAGTTAATTCCAGCTCTTTCTCCCTTCTGTCGATTCCATTAGTCCAAAACTATTTTGATTAATCCTCGCTTACTCATCAAAGATTTGATACATGGTTTCACTACATTGTTCTCGTTGCATGGTAATAACTTCTCTCAAATACGAGGGAACTGGAGAATAATGCTAAAAGAAGTTCTCATTTTAAGAATGCTAGCTCACAGAACTCAAACTTAGAAATTTTCATTACTCTTTAATCTCAATTCATGCATATTTTTATAACTTTTTTTTTTTAAATAATTTTGAAGGTTTAGTGTTATAATGGTAACCATAATCATGATAAAGAAAAATGGAAAATTTGAAGTATTTTATCAGAAATCTCGTGCAGATTATTGAAAATAGTGGTAAATTTCAAGACTGATTTAAGCTTAGATAAGGCATAAGATCCAAATCTCCAATTTTATATTGTTAAACTTCAAACCTTGCGTGTATTAGAGAGAGATTAATTTCTAAGTCATATTACGCGAGACATCATGTTAATAATCACACAAAGTTATATCCAACGAATACCCCGTTACACTTACACCCAAGCTTTGGCTCCCGTCCTAGATAGCAGATGCGTCGAGATTCAACCATTTTTGACGAAGTCCGATTGACATGGGGAATAAAGTAATTGACTCGTTACCTCTGCGGTATTGTGATTTTGTTGATGAATTGATTGTAGATTATTAGCTAAAATTATGGTAAAATGTTGTTTGACGAGTTGTAGCCATTTATTCTGACAAGATTATATATATATATATTTTTTTTTAGCAAGATTTGTTACCTCTTAATACTTCGTTTTTTTGTTCTATAATATCTCCTTTCTAATCAAGTACTAATAAAATATACATAATGAAATTATATATAAGATAGTAAAAGAGTTGGACCCAAATTTTTCTTTTATTAAACATATACATTCTTTTTACAAAGTTTGGATTATGTACAAGAGTTATCAAAAACATGAAGGACAGTGTAACCATTTCTCCTCGCGTGCCGACTCCCATCCGACCGCATTCTCACCTAGATCCTGCAACTACAAAAAAAAAAAAAAAACAACGGGTTGAGCACAAAACAATGCTCAGTAACTAAATCCTCTACTCGACTGTCCTCGTAATTCTTTCTCTTAATTCTTTCATTACACTTTTTCTCATCTCATTTATTTTCTCTTTCACACAACTCTCTTACTTAACTTCTGCTATTGTCACAGCCTCATCTTACCGAGGCACGGTCGGGTGGAGTTCACACAGTACCAACCCACTCTTCGTAACTTTCGGGTGGATATCACAAAACACCAACCCGCTTTTCGTAACTATCGGGTGGAGATCACAAAGCACCAACCCATTTTTCATCACAATCGGGTGGAGATCACAAAACACCACCCTGTTTTTCATCTTAGAGTAGTTCATACACATAGTTCTCTACTCTTTCTCAAGCCAATTCTCAATGCACAATTAATCTTCTCCACTAATGCACTCATGAAATGCCAACATGCAATGTTGCAAGAATTAAAGTTACTACTCATGATTCTCTTAGGCATTTCATCAAACAACTAGTGTGCATATATAAACTCTACTTTATCTATGGTTTCATCCCTCTCTTGAACCATCCAAAATGGGAGGAAACTCCCTCACATCTAGTCATAAAAGAACACTTCCAAAGAAAATACTCAATCTCCTCCAACTTCATTTCAACCTACATCCTCTCGTCACTACATATTCATCACATATTAACACTTCTCATCAATGAAGTGTAATCAACAACCATAAAATAAATACTCATCTCAACCCAATTTCTCAATAGCATAACATACACATGCATATATAAATCTCTACTTAGTCCATACTCACAAGATTTCTCAAATTTCAACTTGGATTTGATTTACTTACCTTGTAAAGCACTTTCCTTTCCTTTAAAATGCTTGTCCCTTCTCTACAACTTTACACAATAAAACCATAACACCATAAGATTTTCATACACAAATATATGAAAAACTTCACATTTAAAGCAATAATCCTTACCTTAGGATGCCTTAGATTAATTCTCTACCAAGATCCAACTAAAAACCCTCAAAAATCCTTGAAAACTTGAAGGAAAAGTTGAGAGGAAATGGAAAATGAAAGAGGCAGTGGAAGAAGAATGAATGAAGGGTTTACTAAGCTTAACCCTTTTTTAGCTCAAATTATCTTCATTCATTCCCATATTGCCCTTGCTCTTTCTTGGAAATTCCATCCTTGTCCTTTAATTCATTACAAACACACACCCCTTCTAACATATTCTCCATAAAATTTCCTTACAATTTACTCCCCACTTTTCCTGCTAATTGGGGGTAGAATGGTCATTTTACCCATATGGGGAATTCTCTAGAAACCTCAATACACTTTTCTGTCGTCCCATCGCCGCGGCAAAGAAAGTTCTGTCACCCCGGCGAAAAATTACAGAACCTACACCGTAATTACCAAGCCAACGTCGCCACGGCGAAGAACGAAATTTCACACTTCGCCAAAACCCAACTAAAATCAGGGCAAACACTCAACCAAACCAATTAAGGGTCAATCAACTGAAAATAATGACATACAAGCTCAAAGAAGAACAAAGCAAGAAACATTCAAACATACAACATAATTTACTACGTACCTCAAGTGGAGCGTTACATGTTCTTAATCATGTATTAACACATGGATAATTGTATAAAAAATGAAATTAATAATTACATTAAAGATTAATGAAAATTAAAAATCTATTCATAATCACATGTACATATTTTTATATGAAATTTGCATGCGCACACATTTTACATTCACTAAACTTAAGTTTCTAAACACAATCAAATTCAAAAAGTTTAATTGTCACTAAATTCGAATGCTACAAAAGTAAAAATAGTGTGTTAAGATAACCTCCAAAAACGGCACCGTGTCATAGCACAGCTGCTGGGGATTCAGCCCCAATAAACTCTGAAAATTTGCAGGAAGAAACAAGTGCCATATATTATTAGTTCCCAGATTCAAATGCCTGGTTATGTGTTTTTATTCCTTTCTCCATCAAGAACTCTCTACGAACAAACCTAAGACTTGAGTTCTGAAAATCTTTGCCTAACAACACAAGCAACCTTCCACTCACCAATACTAGCCAGCCCCTCTACCACCTTTTGCCTAACTTTTATATATGGGATAAATCCTCTCCCTGTCATCCCCATCACCACCTTCGCTGCTAAAACATATTCATGGCACTCTAAGCACCCCTCAACAACTAACTCATAGCTCTCAAATCCAACAAGAAATTTCTCCCTCTCCAATAACTCAATCACATCAACTGCTTTCGACATTTCTCTGTTTGCCCGCAATGCGGCTGCCACTTTCACCACCGTTGCATGCCTCGGTACCAATCCAACTTTTGCCACCATTTCCTTCAACATCTCTACTGCATCATCGGTCCTCCTGAATGAGCTCATTGCACCAATCACAATGCTGTAACTCTCTGAATCCGGAAAACATCCTGCTCTACCCATCCCCTTCAAAACTTTAACCGCTTCCATCAGCTGATCAACAGCACAGAGAGACGATAAAAGGTAATTACAAGTGCCACAATCCGGGTGATACCCAATGGACCGCATCTCTAACAGAATGTCAGCGACAGAGTGAGATTGGCGTCTTTGCTCAAGCCATACAGAAGAAAGAAGAAGGCGCGTTTGGGGGACAGGAACACAGCCAGAACGAAGAGTACGTTGGAGGATGGCAAGAGCAAGAGGGAGGGGATTGGAACTTTGGAGGGCATAAGATAGGAGGCAATCATAGGCAAGTTGAGGGCGAGAGCGGGGTCTGAGAGGGATGAAAGAACGCAAAATATCATCAATGACTTTAATTCTGTGATTGTTAGGGATGGTGGAGAGGAATGAGAAGGGATTGGGGTTTTGACAAGGTTGTTTGTAGGAAATGAGAAGGTCAGGAATTTGTTGGTAGTCTTTGGCTTCAACTGCAGCTTTGATTTCTTCAAGCGTTTGTGATGATAGTGAAGAAAACTGGAGGAGAGAAGGACCTAGATTAACAAGGGATCTGCAAACTTTTTTTGCTCCAGTCATCATCGTTTCGTTGTAAATAAATAAAAAAAATTGAAGGATAGCAAGGGTGCTTCAATGTTAACCTGCAGATAATCATCATGTAGAAAAGTTTTAAATCAATAAAAAGCAAAAAAGAAGTTTCCACTCTTATTCTTCTTTATGTAACTAATTAAATGCTTACAAACGCAAGGTCCAAAGCTTACAGTGGCATATCAGCGAACACCTTATGCACAATACATTAATCGACAAAATAATACACCTGGTCACATAGAGATTTGGGGCAACATGAATATTCATTGATGGAAGAGTCTGATCTGAAAGGGTCAAGATGGGCAGTGGTGGGACATTAATTTGGAAACTGCCATTTGATAAAACGGTATAGGTAAAGTTCCAAAATTGATTTATTTAATATTTTATGCTACAAAAGCTTAATAGATAAAACATAAACGGTACTTGCAAGTAAATAAGTTAAATATTGTAAGATGCCAGAGATTTTAGTCGCAACCCCGAAACGTATAAGTAGAAGTTCTCTGACAAAACCAAGATCTAACTTATACAAGTCACCATAAAATTACAATCAAAACGAGGCCGTTTAATTGAATCCGTGGATAATACTAGAATTAAATTCAACATGATACTCATCAAGTTCAGGTGCTGAACATGATGAGGAAAAGGTTAAATGGGTACAAACATGAAGTACAAGAAACTAAATCTTTACTCTAATGGACCGAACCTGAGCTCACCACAGGTGAAATCATGATGAACCACATCTCTGGCTGCGTGGCTGACTCTTACAAATTCTCATTACATAATAGTTTTAAGGATAATTTAACGAATTATTATCAACTTGGATGAGATACTAGTATGGGCTAGCTATAACTGGGATGTATGAAGTATGAACTGCTGCCAAGAATAATATGCATACCATTGGAAGTGAGCAAATGTTTTTGGACATTGAGACTGATTCTCTTTTATGTGACACGATTGAGACAAAGCTAAAGCTATCCATACAAGTTTCTATATTGTATTAACAGATTTATCTGTGGGATGTTCATTCATCAATAACAAATTAACTTGCACTGTTGGTATGAACAGAGGCAATCAACCTCCAATTTTAGTCTAGATCTCCCTTCTTGTGGCATGTAAGAATAATTATATTATACATCCATCAAAAGAAACCTGGAATGAAAAAATCCAGTCCGTCATTATAAGAACCTGAAAGGAATCAGGGAGTAAAGTTATAAAAAAATTATATATAGAGAGAGAGAGAAAATTAATTATAGAATTACAAAAAAAAAATAAATAAATAAAATAAAAAATAAAGGAAAACCATGATGGTGGTATTCCTATATACCAGTCAAGCAAAATCTTTGCAAACAAAGGAAGTCAGTCAAACAGCATTTTAAACTATTTACCAGAAAACAAATTAGTAACTGGCAATGAACTCCTCATCGATGATGCCTTCTTCTAGATCTAAAACGGCGATGAATTATCCGAAAAATCATCACAAAACTAATGAGAACCACACCGACCTGCAGAAGTAAGAATATCTTCAACCCTGGAAGCAACCAGCAGAAACTTAGTCTCATAAAGTTTTACAGCTGCACCAAAACTATCAGAGACACAGAATACCTTCAAGCTTCTGGATTAAATCCTCCAAATTCACTCGATTTTTTGTTTCTTTTGCATCAATAGAGTCCAGATCATTGACTGTAGAGATGTAATTACTATGTTTGTACTCAACATTCCCTCCCATGACACAAGTGTTGGGACACCTGATGCTGCCATCGTACTCATCACTTCCGTCACAGCAATCTAAGAAAATGTTCATTAACAACAGGCAGGAATTTCAAGGGGGAGGCACAAGAGTATTCTTATTTTTCTTAATCCAAAGAAACAAGCAAATTCAAATTTTAGACAAAATAGGACAAATCTGGATAACAAAAATCAAGTTCAGTTCCACAGAACTTCGTGGTGGCATCAATGTAACAAGTCTACACCTATGTGAATTCAGCTAACTTTAACAGAGAGACATTTGATGACTTTAAGACTTATAATTTATAAAAAGCCATAAGCACAGGGAATATGACATTGTTCAAAATCCATTTTAGTAAGACATTGTTCAATCATCAATTTAGTTCACACATATAAAATGGCCTTCATTGAACTGTAAAAAGAAGTTATATGATCCTAGAGAAGGATAACATAACAAGCAATCTCAGTCTCCAGACTAGTTCAAAATCCAAAACAAAACATTAACAGGCAAGTCACAAAAAAGACATTGACAAACATGACGCTCAAAACAGTAGGGTTGTCAATGATATTATCTCCAGTTATTTGCATATTAATACAAGAGGCGTCCCAAAACTTAATGCTACATGCCTGAACTATGTTTTTACATTTCCAGAAGTCCTAACTGGCTATGCTATCACAATTGAGGAAAAAGAAGTGATCTTAAGAATTATATTTACCACAATAATGATCATTTACACGAGAAGAGAAAATGAACTGAGGTGTACTTCCCACATTCCTACAATAAAATTTGCCATCTGGACAAGCTGAAGTTCCTGAAAATACAAGAAAGAAGGCTTAATTAAGCTAATAACAGAGACATTAACAACATGAAAATGCAAACTGAATGAAGAATAACTGGCAATTAACTAATACAATTAGTTCATGCAACAGGACGACATTAAAAAACAAAAGTATAACTCATTCATTAAGAAGTTTAATCAACTTAAACAATTAAATTTTGAGGAAAAAGCCCAGACTATAATCGAAAAACTTTAACGCTGGAGGATACTTAAGATACCATTAGAACAGAAAGAGAAAATGAAGCATCCAATGATACAAATCTCTGCATAGGTGAAGATATATGGAAAGGGTAGCTTCATTTCCAAAGAAAATTAAGAGTCTACTTAATTAATGACTTGATACTACCTAATCCAAAGGGTAATATCTATAATATTTTCCCCTAATTTTGTTTTCTGGACTGCATATAAATCACTTCATCACTTGAATATCAACCTACATAGTCTCAGTGGCAGCATCCGATGATTTATATATAATACCATACTGCTAAAAACTCAAAAATATTAACATTAAAATTCATTCAATCATATTTTACATAGTAATATCCCATTATATCCTAAGCTGAAAAATAAAAAAATAAAAAAAGCAATATGATACCCGGCTCGTCAGTTCCGTCAATACAGTCGCAAAAATTGTCGTTAAGACGGTCTCTGGTGAAGGACTTGGACCCATCTTTGCACTTTATAATCTCTGACGAAAAGTACTTCTGATCTGCAAAGGCACATTCATTAATTGAAGATTTTCAGGAGCATAATAAGCTTTTGGGAGAAGAAGAGAAAGCGTTACCAAGTGGGTGAACACCAAGGATGAAGGGTGATTTACAGTGAACAAAAACGAGTTGGAAACAGATAGAAATCAGAATAAGAGGAATCGAGTTTTTGATCATCGTGTTTCCTGGGCTTTAATCATGTATTAACACATGGATAATTGTATAAAAAATGAAATTAATAATTACATTAAAGATTAATGAAAATTAAAAACCTATTCATAATCACATGTACATATTTTTATATGAAATTTGCATGCGCACACATTTTACATTCACTAAACTTAAGTTTCTAAACACAATCAAATTCAAAAAGTTTAATTGTCACTAAATTCGAATGCTACAAAAGTAAAAATAGTGTGTTAAGATAACCTCCAAAAACGGCACCGTGTCATAGCACAGCTGCTGGGGATTCAGCCCCAATAAACTCTGAAAATTTGCAGGAAGAAACAAGTGCCATATATTATTAGTTCCCAGATTCAAATGCCTGGTTATGTGTTTTTATTCCTTTCTCCATCAAGAACTCTCTACGAACAAACCTAAGACTTGAGTTCTGAAAATCTTTGCCTAACAACACAAGCAACCTTCCACTCACCAATACTAGCCAGCCCCTCTACCACCTTTTGCCTAACTTTTATATATGGGATAAATCCTCTCCCTGTCATCCCCATCACCACCTTCGCTGCTAAAACATATTCATGGCACTCTAAGCACCCCTCAACAACTAACTCATAGCTCTCAAATCCAACAAGAAATTTCTCCCTCTCCAATAACTCAATCACATCAACTGCTTTCGACATTTCTCTGTTTGCCCGCAATGCGGCTGCCACTTTCACCACCGTTGCATGCCTCGGTACCAATCCAACTTTTGCCACCATTTCCTTCAACATCTCTACTGCATCATCGGTCCTCCTGAATGAGCTCATTGCACCAATCACAATGCTGTAACTCTCTGAATCCGGAAAACATCCTGCTCTACCCATCCCCTTCAAAACTTTAACCGCTTCCATCAGCTGATCAACAGCACAGAGAGACGATAAAAGGTAATTACAAGTGCCACAATCCGGGTGATACCCAATGGACCGCATCTCTAACAGAATGTCAGCGACAGAGTGAGATTGGCGTCTTTGCTCAAGCCATACAGAAGAAAGAAGAAGGCGCGTTTGGGGGACAGGAACACAGCCAGAACGAAGAGTACGTTGGAGGATGGCAAGAGCAAGAGGGAGGGGATTGGAACTTTGGAGGGCATAAGATAGGAGGCAATCATAGGCAAGTTGAGGGCGAGAGCGGGGTCTGAGAGGGATGAAAGAACGCAAAATATCATCAATGACTTTAATTCTGTGATTGTTAGGGATGGTGGAGAGGAATGAGAAGGGATTGGGGTTTTGACAAGGTTGTTTGTAGGAAATGAGAAGGTCAGGAATTTGTTGGTAGTCTTTGGCTTCAACTGCAGCTTTGATTTCTTCAAGCGTTTGTGATGATAGTGAAGAAAACTGGAGGAGAGAAGGACCTAGATTAACAAGGGATCTGCAAACTTTTTTTGCTCCAGTCATCATCGTTTCGTTGTAAATAAATAAAAAAAATTGAAGGATAGCAAGGGTGCTTCAATGTTAACCTGCAGATAATCATCATGTAGAAAAGTTTTAAATCAATAAAAAGCAAAAAAGAAGTTTCCACTCTTATTCTTCTTTATGTAACTAATTAAATGCTTACAAACGCAAGGTCCAAAGCTTACAGTGGCATATCAGCGAACACCTTATGCACAATACATTAATCGACAAAATAATACACCTGGTCACATAGAGATTTGGGGCAACATGAATATTCATTGATGGAAGAGTCTGATCTGAAAGGGTCAAGATGGGCAGTGGTGGGACATTAATTTGGAAACTGCCATTTGATAAAACGGTATAGGTAAAGTTCCAAAATTGATTTATTTAATATTTTATGCTACAAAAGCTTAATAGATAAAACATAAACGGTACTTGCAAGTAAATAAGTTAAATATTGTAAGATGCCAGAGATTTTAGTCGCAACCCCGAAACGTATAAGTAGAAGTTCTCTGACAAAACCAAGATCTAACTTATACAAGTCACCATAAAATTACAATCAAAACGAGGCCGTTTAATTGAATCCGTGGATAATACTAGAATTAAATTCAACATGATACTCATCAAGTTCAGGTGCTGAACATGATGAGGAAAAGGTTAAATGGGTACAAACATGAAGTACAAGAAACTAAATCTTTACTCTAATGGACCGAACCTGAGCTCACCACAGGTGAAATCATGATGAACCACATCTCTGGCTGCGTGGCTGACTCTTACAAATTCTCATTACATAATAGTTTTAAGGATAATTTAACGAATTATTATCAACTTGGATGAGATACTAGTATGGGCTAGCTATAACTGGGATGTATGAAGTATGAACTGCTGCCAAGAATAATATGCATACCATTGGAAGTGAGCAAATGTTTTTGGACATTGAGACTGATTCTCTTTTATGTGACACGATTGAGACAAAGCTAAAGCTATCCATACAAGTTTCTATATTGTATTAACAGATTTATCTGTGGGATGTTCATTCATCAATAACAAATTAACTTGCACTGTTGGTATGAACAGAGGCAATCAACCTCCAATTTTAGTCTAGATCTCCCTTCTTGTGGCATGTAAGAATAATTATATTATACATCCATCAAAAGAAACCTGGAATGAAAAAATCCAGTCCGTCATTATAAGAACCTGAAAGGAATCAGGGAGTAAAGTTATAAAAAAATTATATATAGAGAGAGAGAGAAAATTAATTATAGAATTACAAAAAAAAAATAAATAAATAAAATAAAAAATAAAGGAAAACCATGATGGTGGTATTCCTATATACCAGTCAAGCAAAATCTTTGCAAACAAAGGAAGTCAGTCAAACAGCATTTTAAACTATTTACCAGAAAACAAATTAGTAACTGGCAATGAACTCCTCATCGATGATGCCTTCTTCTAGATCTAAAACGGCGATGAATTATCCGAAAAATCATCACAAAACTAATGAGAACCACACCGACCTGCAGAAGTAAGAATATCTTCAACCCTGGAAGCAACCAGCAGAAACTTAGTCTCATAAAGTTTTACAGCTGCACCAAAACTATCAGAGACACAGAATACCTTCAAGCTTCTGGATTAAATCCTCCAAATTCACTCGATTTTTTGTTTCTTTTGCATCAATAGAGTCCAGATCATTGACTGTAGAGATGTAATTACTATGTTTGTACTCAACATTCCCTCCCATGACACAAGTGTTGGGACACCTGATGCTGCCATCGTACTCATCACTTCCGTCACAGCAATCTAAGAAAATGTTCATTAACAACAGGCAGGAATTTCAAGGGGGAGGCACAAGAGTATTCTTATTTTTCTTAATCCAAAGAAACAAGCAAATTCAAATTTTAGACAAAATAGGACAAATCTGGATAACAAAAATCAAGTTCAGTTCCACAGAACTTCGTGGTGGCATCAATGTAACAAGTCTACACCTATGTGAATTCAGCTAACTTTAACAGAGAGACATTTGATGACTTTAAGACTTATAATTTATAAAAAGCCATAAGCACAGGGAATATGACATTGTTCAAAATCCATTTTAGTAAGACATTGTTCAATCATCAATTTAGTTCACACATATAAAATGGCCTTCATTGAACTGTAAAAAGAAGTTATATGATCCTAGAGAAGGATAACATAACAAGCAATCTCAGTCTCCAGACTAGTTCAAAATCCAAAACAAAACATTAACAGGCAAGTCACAAAAAAGACATTGACAAACATGACGCTCAAAACAGTAGGGTTGTCAATGATATTATCTCCAGTTATTTGCATATTAATACAAGAGGCGTCCCAAAACTTAATGCTACATGCCTGAACTATGTTTTTACATTTCCAGAAGTCCTAACTGGCTATGCTATCACAATTGAGGAAAAAGAAGTGATCTTAAGAATTATATTTACCACAATAATGATCATTTACACGAGAAGAGAAAATGAACTGAGGTGTACTTCCCACATTCCTACAATAAAATTTGCCATCTGGACAAGCTGAAGTTCCTGAAAATACAAGAAAGAAGGCTTAATTAAGCTAATAACAGAGACATTAACAACATGAAAATGCAAACTGAATGAAGAATAACTGGCAATTAACTAATACAATTAGTTCATGCAACAGGACGACATTAAAAAACAAAAGTATAACTCATTCATTAAGAAGTTTAATCAACTTAAACAATTAAATTTTGAGGAAAAAGCCCAGACTATAATCGAAAAACTTTAACGCTGGAGGATACTTAAGATACCATTAGAACAGAAAGAGAAAATGAAGCATCCAATGATACAAATCTCTGCATAGGTGAAGATATATGGAAAGGGTAGCTTCATTTCCAAAGAAAATTAAGAGTCTACTTAATTAATGACTTGATACTACCTAATCCAAAGGGTAATATCTATAATATTTTCCCCTAATTTTGTTTTCTGGACTGCATATAAATCACTTCATCACTTGAATATCAACCTACATAGTCTCAGTGGCAGCATCCGATGATTTATATATAATACCATACTGCTAAAAACTCAAAAATATTAACATTAAAATTCATTCAATCATATTTTACATAGTAATATCCCATTATATCCTAAGCTGAAAAATAAAAAAATAAAAAAAGCAATATGATACCCGGCTCGTCAGTTCCGTCAATACAGTCGCAAAAATTGTCGTTAAGACGGTCTCTGGTAAAGGACTTGGACCCATCTTTGCACTTTATAATCTCTGACGAAAAGTATTTCTGATCTGCAAAAGCACATTCATTAATTGAAGATTTTCAGGAGCATAATAAGCTTTTGGGAGAAGAAGAGAAAGCGTTACCAAGTGGGTGAACACCAAGGATGAAGGGTGATTTACAGTGAACAAAAACGAGTTGGAAACAGATAGAAATCAGAATAAGAGGAATCGAGTTTTTGAACATCGTGTTTCCTGGGCTTCGTCGAAAAGAAAACACTTCGACATAACCATTATTATTCCACAAGTAGACCTTGACTCAGAGTCAAGACCCAATTGGCTAGCCCAGTGGTTCTGCTTCAGTTAAATCACATTGAGTTCTGTACCTCTTTTTTTTTTTTTTTTTTTTTAACTTTCCTCGGTTAAATATTATTTATTTACTATATTTATCAACAAGTATAAATAATTACTAACATGTGACAACTTGAATGTCAAGGTTAACAGGCATCACATTTTAAAATAAATTATAACACAATTTTTATATCATATTTAACTTTTTAATGCATTTTAAAAATAAGATAATTTAAATTCAATCTCAATTATTCAAATGTTATAATTTAATCGTTCGAAAATTGTTTCAAAACTTGTAAAAAAATAAATAAAATTGTAACCGAATTCCTTAATTGAATTAAAAATTGTCCGTAACTTAAAAGGCTCAAAAGGCAAACAATTGTGAATTGTTGAAAATCAATTATAATATTAATAGATATTGCGGTGAATCATAAGGTACATACCGCGTTTGATTTTCTTTATCTTTTAATGGACAGGATTAGTTAAGGAGTTATTCATTCTTCAAGGTGTATACAGAAATAAAAAAGGATGAGAACGTACACATTAACCCCCACGCCTGGATTTTTTTTTTTGAATAAATTCCGATTGCCTGTTCTCATCATTTATAAATTCCAATTTCTTGTTCTCTTTATGCATCCATCAATATACATGTATCACAGACAATCATTATTTTTCAAGATATAATTATTTAAAGAAAATTGATATATGTATATAGCAATAAATTTATGTATTTTAGGAAGTTTGTTTTACTTTGGTAATGTCTTACTGTAATCTCCAATATCCTATTTTATTAAAATGGATTATATTAACTAAAATTCAAAATATAAACATGCATAGTCAATTCAATAATTTATATATATATATGGTACGTACCAGCTTTTTAAAACAAAATTTATTTAAGATTAGTCAAAATTCATTACATTCTTAAATGAAAAACCTCCCCCTTCTGAATTTGTAATTCAAGTGGAATAAATAAAGGATTCGATAAGAAGAAGAAAAAAAGAAAAAAATCATTATAGCCCATTTAATTTAAAAGAAATAAGTTTATATGATGTATATATATGTGTGTCTTTCAATATCCAAGACGAAAGAAGAAGTATCATGATCAGCATTCTATATATCGAACATCGAAATCAACCATGCCTTGTGTTCCCATAGCGTGCTTGCTTTCCATCATCTTCCCATTGATTTAACTAAATGGACCTATAAAAAACAAAATAAGAGAATTCATTGATCAAGTAAGTACTTAGAAAGACAAAATTAAAATTAGATTAAACATCGAAATTACCTGAAATGTAGTATTGCTGGTTAAACCCTCTAGTGATAGAGTGTTGTTGCTGTGGTGGCTGCTGTTGTAGCGGAATATTGACAACACCACCAACCTCTCTTTCTTGCTTTAATTTCGTTGGATTTTGGACAAATTGTACTGAAGGATAACCATAGCTACTCTCCAATTCACTCATCGAATTTCCATCGTGATTAATATAATTCCCCGCATTATTATTATTGTTAACCACTACTTCTTCCATACTCATTCCATTATTACTCATCCCGTTTGTTCCATTCCATCCGATTAAAGGGGGTCGGAAAATGACTCCCCCTTGTCCCGCCATTAATTGATGATTTTGGTTCTGGTTTTGCATTAGGGCTTGGCTTTTGTATAATTTAAGCTCTTCACAAATTCTTTTGTACTCTCCATAGGGGCCTAAAACCGGATTCTTTTGCCTCCAAAGGGCTTCCCAGATTAGTGAATCTACAACTTTTGGTCTATCTTCTTCATCAACACTATGCACAATCTTTGTGACGTTGCTCACACCAAAAACTCTGTGAACTGCTTGAAATTCTCGGCTTCTATCAGCCGGAAAATAGGCGGCGAGTTTGCACTCCTCGTTGCATTTTTTCCTTTGATGTTTGCATGCAGCACATGCTGATTGCACGCTTGATGTAGCAGAGTTATTGTTATTCCTTTGCATCCTATAATTATTTCAAAAACAAAAACAATAAAAACACAAACTTTTCTATGTAATTATGTTAACAAAGTATATATTCTAGCAAAATTTACAGATAACAAACATCATCAGTAAGGAAGAAATCAAGAGAAACACATGCGGGAGAATATATAATATAAGATTAAGGAAGAAATTAAACAAGTTTGAGTTACATATACACACCTTAATTACATACAAGTATTTTGTGGGTGCGCGAGAATGAAAAGAGAATGTTTGCATAAAGAATATAAGAAAAACAAGAAGATGATCAAAGAACAAGTTTAAGTGTTTGTGTATAAGGGCATGAAAAGATTGTCAGTGTGTGTAAAGGTTTGGGGGATGGTTGATTAGGGTTTAGGTAGATCATAGGAATAAGAAGAGCCGCCGGGAGAAGAAGAAATAATATTATGTTTAATAAAGAAAGAAATCTAGTCTTAATAGAAAACAAATCTATTTTTTCATCTTTCCTTAATTAAAAATTGGCATAAGCTAATTGGGATGGTAAAAGAATCAAAGTGTGACAGTCATGCAGACCGCGTAAATTATTTGGACAAGCGATATTACTATGTTTTTTTTAATTTTAATTATAAACTTTAATTTTTATTTTATTAATATACAACTACTCTAGTATTTTAAAAAGTGTTTTTATATAGTAATATTTTGTATTGAAACAGTGTCTGCCAAGAGCCAACTACTTGACGAGAAGATAGTTTTTCTAATTTGTAAAATTCTTTTAGGCTAATATATCCTGATTCATGAATTATATCGTGTCCTGTAAACTCTATACTACACAAATCTGGAAAGTCAATCTGCATCAATTTTATTCAGACAAAGAGGATGCTTAAGAAAAAGACATTTTAATCCATCAACTCCAAGGCCTAAGTGTGATAAATTACCAACTATATATACTCAACATTACTTTATTTTTGTTTATCAAAGAGTACCATGTCAAATTCTTCTCAATATTATTTTGAATTATGTACAATCACATTATTCTTATCTATTTTTATATATCAATTACAAGACACAAGAATGTCAACTTCATAAAATCTTTCATTGTCTCTAGGAAAATTATTAACAAATTTAGTAGTTGCCAAAACTTAAGTATTTTATAAACCACTATTGGCTAACCAAGTGGTCAACTAGGACTTCTGTATGTATTACTCAAGAGGTTTTGAGTTTGATTTACCTCGATTGCTAATAGGGGTGGCCACTTTTCAACTTCAGGGTCCTAAGGATAGGGGTGAAATTGAGTTGAGTCGAGTATCCAGTTAATCGAATTCAACTCAAACGCTATAGTACTAAATTCAAGTTCGAGTTTGAGCTTGAGAAATCAAGTTCAAACTCAAACTCAGTACCTGTAATTGGAATTTCATTATTCGAGTTCGAGAATACGAGCTTTAATTGAATTCGAATATTCGAGTTTTAATCAAGTTTCGAGTCGAGTTCTACTGTGATCGAACTCGACTTGAATGACTACTCAAACTACTTGAACTTGAACTCGACTCAACCAATGTTGAGCTGAGTTTGAGCCAAAATCGAGTTGAGCTTGAGCCGCTTGTGAGTGGCTCGGCTTGATTTTCACCCTTATCTGGGGGATTAGTTCAGATGCACGTAAATTGACCTGAACACCCCCAGTTAAAAAAAAAATTATATATAATAACAAAAAATCTTGTTTTTAACTGTAATAATGTTATAGGTTTCAAGTCAGAGCCTTGTCAGTATCGGTATCACCGAGCAAAAATTTATCACTCTTTGAAGGGAACCACTAAAAGTTGATATGAGATCACACTGTATATTATTGAATGTGTTTTACTTGACCAATTTAAAACAAACTTTTGTTATTGTTCAAATGTTGTTATCAAAGTTGTATAAATCATTGGACTCGAGTATAAAGATGAACTATTACGTTAATGTAAAAAACAAAATTTGGGCCAGAAAAATTATAGAATAAGGCCCAATCTTTAGCCTCTTTTTGGTACCACACCAGGAAACGCCTGAAGAAGAGTAATTAAAGATGCCGCCCAATGTTAACGCAAGTGGAACTGAGAAAGTCTGTAAAACCATAATTACACATTAGAAAAATCTTGCAAGTCTGATCTTACAGCGTGAATTTCACAACAATCCTAAGGCCTCACTCTTCTGTAACACCATAGTGTTATCTGCTTTAGGTCTTGTCAGTATACTTCATGTTTCTTTGACTTAATTGGCAAATGCTAGTTTAATTTATGTATCAATTATGTGTGTTATCTTTTATATAAATAAAAATATTTTATTAGTTTTTAAATATGAAAATAAAATTTTTTATCAAATTCAATAAATTCTTTAAATTATAAAAATATATTTTTATTTAAAAAAACTTAATAAGAGAGAGAATTATAAATAAAATATATAAAAACGTTAGTTTATTAATTAAATTATAACAGGAAGAGTCAAACTCACTCTTTGATTTATATTTAAAGAATAAAGTCGTTTAGACCCTTATTTTTTAGTAAACTCCTTATATAAATAGTTTGGATCATATAAAGAGTCTTTGGAAATACTCTTTATCTCACTCGAGATGAAATATATCAACCAGTCTTCTATTAAATTTTATTGAATATATAACAAATTTTGATCCATATTAATCAAAATTGAGTCCAAAAACCCACAGAGTCCATATTAGACCCACCCATAACCCATCACTATCATTGAGAGCAATACTTAACAGAGAGCCATATCGAAAGATCCATTTATCTTTCACATCAAATCTGTATAAAGATCTTTGCTTTCGGTTAGTTGAACAGTTAGACATATCTTTCTGGCTGGTTGATAAGCACATTAACAACACACTGTTAAAAGGGTATAACTGAGTTTAAGATTTGAAATCTTTCAAATACCAACAGGAGTAGCATGAGATGATTTATCACTCTTCATTTAGGGTTCTTATAATAAGTTAAAAGACACACAATTGACTTATACACCTTTCAATCACGCAAAAAATAAAAAAAAAAACAAACAAACACCCCCATAATTCCATCGCCAAACAGAGCTGATCCTATCTCACAATTCATCCTGGTAACCGCAACTATTTCTTTACCAAAGTTAATATACCCCCCCATGTTGCACTCCACTTTTTTCTCCCTTAATCATGGCGTGGCTCCCAATAAAGTTAATCGGTCGCTTGACTGATACCTTGACCAAAACTATACTCTTTCAATGCAACTGAGTTTAATTTCTGAAATCTACAATCCCTTTGGTAAATTGAATCACTGGGTGGGTAGCATGGAAATTTCAATGTCTCAATGGTAAACTTAGGGCGGCTCAAGGGCAGCAGTGAGGCTGCCAGGGCCCAAAAAATAGGGCAAAAAAGGACAATTTTTTATAATTTTTTTAATAATTACAAAATAAAAATATGTATAATTTTTACCTAACCATTCCAAGGGGCTCAAAAAAAAAAAAAAAAAATATAAATTTATTATAATTTTACATATATTTTCCCCCCAAAGTTTGATGAAATGCAATTTTATCTCTAGTTTCATATATTCTAATTTACACCTCAATTACACTGATTTCTTTTAAAATAAAAGGTTAAAATGTCATTTAATGTCTAAATTACACACCCCAATTCAATTCCAAAATTCGTATCCACATAAATCATCTCCACCCCTCTTCTGCCGCCAGCCTTTTGAGCTGATTTCTCGATTTCCTCACCAAACGTGGAACTATCATTTTATCATTTTCCAAGTGTTTTCCAGTTTGATAGCCCCGATTTGCCAATTTTTTACGAATCTCACACCTAGCTCTATTGTGTGTGAACAACCATTTCGACCTTTTTGGCATGTACCTACATCGTTGGCCTTCCACAATAACACCATCTTCCTCCCCTCAACCTTCTCACCAAAACCCCTATATACCCCATTGTTCACTCGCAATCGCCAGCGCCGATACCTTTTGGGATGCACTTCTAAGTCTTTTCGGTCAATCCTGACATTGGAAATCACCCATTTCACCACTATCACTTCTCCCATATGCTCTCAAAACCCCCCACCACCTACCCCGTTACCCGTCGGTCGTCGTCCACCTCTCCAAAATTTTGATTCAAAAGACAAAAAAAATTTAAATAATTTTTTTTATATATGTTTATATATAAAGAACCCCAAAATTTTTGTCTAGGTCAAAATTTTCTTGAGACACTCTCGTAACATAATGAGTATAACGTGCAAATACACGTTTGGGTATTAATTTTCTTGGATTCATGATATAGATTATTTATGGAAAATAGCAATGTTCAGTTTCTAAGTATTCATATGAGTCTCCCTTGTCTAACACTTACCAACTAACACTACCACCAAACATATACTCGTTTCTTTAGACTGTGTGACTGTCCTTCCCCTTAAAGAAACAGAAAAGCATTTGGCAATCATAGTAAACTAAAGTTGGGTGCTTTATTTATATCTTCACCTTTATTAAACGCCATCTCACCTCCCCTCTTTCCTATTCAAATTTCAAACTCTTTCCCAGCTTCCTCTAACTATCTTGTACATTCAAGATTTGCTTCAAGTAAAAAGTGACAAAGCTCGAGACTAGTCTAGCGTTAATGGAAGAGAAGAAAGGGTTGATCATCAAGAACAGATTTTTAATTACGAAAAAATGAGCCCGGCTAGATTCATCAAGTGTGTCACTGTCGGCGATGGAGCTGTTGGCAGACTTGCATGCTAATCTCCTACACTAGCAATACCTTCCCAACGGTATGAACGTATATCACATTTTAATTGGCGTCCTCTCCTTATCTGCATAAACTTGCCGCTTAATTTGAGTTTGTTTTCTTCATTTTCTCTTCTGATAGGACTACGTGCCCACGGTGTTCGACACCTTTAGTGCTAATGTGGTGGATGGCAGCACAGTTCCCTTGGACTATGGGTACTGCTGGTGAGGATTGAGCTACCTTGCTTCAGTATTATGCCTTTAAATTAGATGGCTAAAAATTTCTGCTGAAGAATTATCATATAAAGTATAAACTTTCAATTACTTACAGAATAGATTGGTTGTACACGGCAGGAGGATTACAACAGGCTTAGGCCTTGAGTTCAGGGGTGCAGATGTGTTTCTTGTTGGCCTTTTCTCTCGTCAGCAAAGCTAGCTATGAAAATATTTCAAAAAAGGTTACAACTCTTTTATTTTTTTATTTTTTGCTTTTGATTTCTATTTCAAATTGTTGCAATCTGACAGAAAACAATTTCTTGGCACGTGGATCCCTGAGCTGAGGCATTATGCTCCGACTGTGCCTATCATTCTTGTAGGAACAAAAATGGTAAACATAGTTCTACTTGTGTGAAGGAAACAAATTATGATTATCTCAGACAGTAAGTTTTCATCACTCTGAGGTTCTAATATTAGAGCTGTTGATTTAATTTGATACAGATTTACGAGATGACAAGCAGTACTTGATTGATCATCCTGGCCACTACTCCAATCTCAACAGCACAGGTAATTTTCTTAGAGATAAATTATATGCAAACTAAGGCATACTATTTCAACAGAGTCAAATTAGCATTCAACATGTCATGATGGACATTTTCAATTCGGATCAGGGGGAAGAACTGAAGAAGATTGATCGGTGCTGCGGCTTACTTAGAGTGCAGCTCCAAGACTCAGCAGGTAATTGGTTATTTTTCTGAAGTTTGTAATAAAAATAAAATTTTTATGCAGAATTTTACTAACTAAAGAATATGCCTCTGTTTCAAACTTTCAGCCCACGTTAAACTACCAACTTTTTAATTTCTTTCTTCCAGTTTCAGATGAATGTCTGATGAAGAAGTGGGTTTTATTCAGTAGCGGATATCTTAGGCGCTTGCTTCTAAAAGCACAATGTACAAACCGAAAGAAAATTTTACCATCTCAGAACATTTTTGATAGTGATAAAGTTTATTTAAACGACGATCCCTTTATTTGCGGAAAAAGTAGAAAGTTAAGCTTCAGCATATGATTGTTCAATCTTCTTTTGTCATTATCTGCAATAATGAGCCTTAAAATTATTTAGAAGTCAATTTCCCTTTAACTGAGTCATAGTAAACTAATTAATAAGAACATGTCAAGTTCAACAGTTTTATGTTATGTGTTTGCTGTGATGAACAGAATGTAAGACTGTGTTTGATGCCGCATCAAGGGTGTTTTGCAACCTCCGAAACCCAGAAGAAGCGGAGAAAGACAAGGCCATGCGTGTTTCTGTAAAACCAAATTTCATTTTTAAGTTCCTCCATATATGTAACATCCACCATTTCTCTTAGCATTTTTATTTCTGTGTCTATATTGCCTGATGGATAATAGGCATTTTGTCAAACTTTGCGAATACGTGAGCTCTCTCTAAGAGCTCTGTAAGGTAATCTCTGAGTAGCATGCAAGAGTATATATATATATATATATATATATATAACTAGAATAAATACTTGAGAACTCTTCAAGTTGATTAGTAACTGAGATTGTCATTTACAGAATTGAGTTTGCAACGAAACAGATCTCTTATTTTCTATCCTAAACTTTTCCAAATCGAAAATTAATAATTTTAAACTCGGATCAAACATTTCATGGTCTGTTACTATAAATCCTATGAATTTTTCATTTAACTGTAATTGTTGGATGGTTGAGCTTATATATATAATATATAAATAGAACTTATGACCTGTAAATATAAGGGATTAAGGGTGAGATATTTTACTCTGTTATATGCGCAGGAAAACTTTATATCTGAATGATTTGAGTTGTTGGCCTTGCTATGTAACATTATATCCATAATTTCTGTTAAAAAATTGATGAATTGCAGACATGAAGAAGAATGAAATAATGAATATGCGCTTCCCTTTGATCATCCACGAGTTAGCAATGAATAAAATCTCTACACTTAGAAATGCATGGTAAAATTTGAAACCTCAAATCAAATCTATTTGAAGGATGGGGACGTTTTGTATTGTAGGGGTAGATCCAGTGTTATTCATCCCAAATTGGGCCTTACAAACCCAAACCCACGGGCCCTAACCCATCTTATTTATTAATTACTTTAACAAAGCCACCAAATTCTTCAAAGGATTGCAAGACTCTTTGGTGGATATAAATAAAATCGGGAAATAAAAGATAGATTGATAAATACTTCTTACAACTTTCTCTTATAAATATTGATATGATAATTTATAATTGGTCAATTTTTTTTTGATCAGGCAAGATCCATTGTTAGACAGACAAGACCCATTGCGAGCTAACCAATTACGAACTGACACATCGTGTTTGTAAGAGAAAGTTAATGAAAATGGTTTATTAGTGTAGTATTACTGAAATCCAAGATCAAACTTTCTACAAAAAAGCTCTGAGGGCGAGGAGTTCAAAACATCTCCAGTACTTTAGGTTTAGTGAAAGTGAACTTAGACGTTCCACCGTTAATATCTTTCAATAAAATCCGTTAAGTAACTCGAGGAATCCTGTCAAAAGACTAAATTACCCTTAACCCTCCTTTGTCACTTTTTAAAAATTCTGGATCAAAAAGATTTTTACTGCAAAACCCCCGAAAAAACCTTTCACGGTTTCACCTCACAGAAACGATTTCCAAAGCCCTAAACCATCGTCACATGTACAGAAACTAAGAACGGACAAAACACTCGAAGAGTTCCAAAACCAGAGCCATTTCTCTCCCGGAATGGCTGGTCCTCTACTTCTCCGTTCACTCTGGTCCACCTCCAAGAAATCATTCTCCTCATCGCCGTCTTCGTCTCACATCAAATCCTATCTGTCAACCGCGCGCTTTTTGTCCACCGCCGCCAATGCTGCCTTAACTCCAAATCCGGCGTTGGACCCTAGCCGTCTCCGCAACGTAGCAGTTATAGCGCACGTTGACCACGGCAAGACTACGCTTATGGACAGGCTTTTACGACAGTGCGGCGCTGATATCCCGCACGAGCGCGCCATGGACTCCATCAGCCTCGAGCGTGAACGTGGTATCACCATCGCCTCTAAGGTTTGATTTACAATTTTATATATGAATTCAACTTAACATTAAACATTTTTTTTTTTTCTGATTTTGAAGGTTGTAATTAAACTGTATGAGATTGTAATTTACTGAATCCACAGTAGTATTGTATGCTACAACTGTGGCTTATTACTTATATAGATCAAAACTTTTAACTTTGATGAGTAAGCTCGGTCAAGAGAAGTCACTCAACTTATTGCTGATTGAAATCCTTGTTAAACTTATATTATGCTAATTATATTGAAAAGTCTTGCAATATATATTGTTCAGGACACATGCTAATGGTATTAATATATTGGTAGATGAGCTAATACATATCACCGAGATATGATTTCGTTGCTTTTGTTAAACCATGCAAATTGCTAATCTTTGTTTTCTAGTATGTTATTGCTGTTCACTTTGGTGATTTCTATTCTCTAATTTGATTAAAAAACTATCAATTCTATCACTTCTACTTTACCTGCCCTAACTTTTCCTCTTTAATTTTCTAAATTATTTCCAGGTTACGTCGATATCATGGAAGGAAAATGAACTAAACATGGTTGATACACCTGGACATGCTGATTTTGGTGGTGAAGTATGTCTCCACTGTGATTATGTTTAGAACATATTGTCAGGACTTAAATTTTATTTATAGTCTAATTGTTGAATAATGACAGAATATATTATGTTGTCTGCTTTAAAAAATCTAAGTGGAAGAATCTAAAGTATAATAATGTGGGCATGGAGATCTCAGTACACAACATGAATGTTCAAGTGCTTTCATATAGGAGAAGGCAAGAAGGTATAGAGTGGTGCTTATACCATAGTGGGAATTATAATATAATGTATGGTAAATTATTTGATAAAGTATGATTCTCGACAGTCGACATTGGTGGCCTGCTATCCGTTTACTTTCTAAGAGGGACATGTTTTATGTAAATATAAGCCTTAAATTGTGTAAATTTGTTGATTGAATAAAAACAGTAGCATATTGTTTCCATGGCAAAGATGAAGTGAATGACATGAGAAAATTTTGAAGTCCCAATGTCTGGAGTTGGAGTGGAAAATATGCTTTACTTCGAGGCCTTATTTAAAAATGACAGCCTACAGAACTTTTGCTGAAATTGATATTTGCTTGGCTTTATTTTGGATGGGTATAGGTTGAGCGGGTTGTTGGCATGGTGGAAGGAGCAATTTTAGTTGTAGATGCTGGTGAAGGTCCACTTGCACAGACAAAGTTTGTTCTTGCCAAAGCCTTGAAATATGGGCTGCGTCCCATTCTTCTTTTGAACAAAGTTGACAGACCTGCTGGTATGAACATATGTTTCATTTTTCCTTTAGAAAAATTCTTTTTGTGGATAGCTTGTTCACTCTTTGTAATAATACTTTTCTATCAATGATGGCCTCCTTGTTTCTTCCCCAAAAGAAGGTAGCTGGTTTACAATTGCAAGATCATATTATATCTGTGGCAACTATTTGCATATGGCATTTTCTTTGGTTTAGACATGGATTAGAATTTATGTTTCTCTTTTAATTTTTATTTTTTAAAGATATGTATTAGTCCTTATTTCTATGGTTGCTAATCACTCAGTTTCCGAGGAGAGGTGTAATGAAGTTGAGAGTCTGGTTTTCGACCTATTTGCAAATCTTGGTGCCACAGGTAAAAAATATAAGTTCAAAAGTGTTATCTGATTTTCACTTGCTGTTGTAATAAGTTGGATGGAAGTATTGTCTAATAAATTTTATTATATTTATGTTAGAGGAACAACTAGATTTTCCTGTTCTCTATGCCTCTGCTAAAGAAGGATGGGCATCTTCCACCTTTACCAAAGATCCTCCAGCTGATGCAAAGAACATGTCTCAGCTGCTTGATGCCGTCATAAGACATGTTCTTCCACCCAAAGCAAGCCTTGATGCACCATTCCAGATGCTGGTTGGTATTCATTGCTGGTCCAGTGAATGTTTTGTGTCCATGTAATTCTGTTAATGCTCTCCTTAGTTGCTTTTCTGTGCTGCGGATGTACATATAATATGATAAAATGGTGTGAGTCTATTTGTGTTTTATGCTATATAAAAATCTAAATATAGTTGGATCGCAAAATTTTGTCCACCAAGATGAAGATTTGCCAAATTATGCATTTCCAGTTTGTAATTTGTCTTTGTTCTGTTAGCTTGTTCTGGTGCAAGTCATCTTCCTGATTATGGCGATTGCTAGGTGTTCTTTAATATGAAATGTCGAAGATGAGTTTTTCTATTGGCAGTGCGTTGGGGTGAATGGTACTTGCACTGTTTTTCAGTGTACTTTTTGGGTCCATGCTTTCCTTGCTATATTTTTGCTATCTTCATATAAACAGAGTAAATTATAGGTTATCTGGCATAGCTTTTATTTACTTCCTATTTTTTTGTTTAGCATTCTCTTCTCTTTTGGTTCTTAAGTCATTTATTTTTTGTTTTTCATTTGCTATTCACTCCACTAACCTCTTTTTTGTGAACATTGACAAAGATACTTGATGTTGCCTTTCAGGTTACAATGATGGAAAAGGACTTTTATCTTGGGCGGATATTGAGTGGACGCATTGCTTCTGGAGTCATTTATGTTGGTGACAGAGTACATGGACTACGTATCACTGATTCTGGGACTGAGAAAATCGAAGAAGGAAAGGTTTGTTGTTCGGTGTTAACTGAATTCACTTGATCCTGATTCACATTATATTCAATCTGCTGTTTGGTACTGGGTCTGAGCTGTAAGCTCCAGTTTCTTTTTTACAATGAAAAAGAGTTGCATGACAATGCTACAAATTTCATCAATGAATTTGGCCTTCTTTATTAAAATCACGAGATTCATCACATTGAAGATTCAAGAAAATAATTACATCATTATAAAATCAATTAGTCTTTTTTATGGATGATGAGAAAAATTTATTGTTATCCAATGTTGCTTTGATAATATCGGTAAATCCTTTCAATGGTTGTGTTGCATACAATCAAAATCGCTCAAATTAAATGATAAAGCTTTGAGAATTATAATTATTTCACCTTTGTTTCTCTTTGGTATACCAAATTACTTTGACCCTATGTTTCTCAGTGATATCAGTTTGATTGATGATCTTAATTTTGTAGGTTCTGAAGCTAATGAAAAAGAAAGGCACATCCGTGGTTCTAATTGACAGTGCAGGAGCAGGTGATATTATATCGATAGCTGGGATGACAAAACCATCAATAGGCCATACAGTGGCAAATACAGAGGTATTTGGGTGCATGTTATAGTCTTTCTTCTGAGATTTATTGTGTGCTTTGGTATATCATGTGTAACATTCGATATTAGCAGATTATTTATGGTATATTTTCTATTTAAAAGTGTACTTAACTGTTTTGTTTGTGAAATAACATAATTACTTCCATTTGAATTGGATTTTGAATGTTCTGATAGGTTATGACTGCATTACCCACCATTGAGTTGGACCCCCCAACCATTTCCATGACTTTTGGTGTAAATGATTCTCCATTGGCTGGTCGCGATGGTAGCCATGTATGTCTCAAACTTTGCCTTTTCTCTTTCCCTAACATATACATTGCTTTATGCTACTTTCAATATCCTGGTTTTCCATGGTTGCTAGCATGCATTTCTCAATGGACAGCCGCATGTTCATCAACATGTTGACTGGTCATGGTTATTGAAACTAACCTTAGCCACATCTTCTATAGAGTAAGAGATTGGATTTTATGATGTTATTTGTTGATGGCTTAAATGCTTACACAGTTGGAAATTTTTTTTTTTTTTTTTTTTTGGTACATGTCAATCCCTTGGAAGTGCCTCATAGAAAACATCACTGCAGCTGTCATTCTTAAACTTTTATGTAAACCCTTGCAATATGTTTTTACTGATTTCATGCTGGGCTGCACAAGAATTTTTGCTGATCTACTACTGGGGAATCGTATGAAATGTCCCTATGATGCTTTGCCTGTACTATATGTCTCTTCCACACCACAATGCTTTTTAAGATGTATGTATATCTCTTTTTGCCGCTATCTGAGGTGATGGGATTCTCGTTGTTTTATAATTGTAGCTGACAGGAGGAAAAATTGGTGATCGGTTAATGGCTGAAGCTGAAACAAACCTTGCCATAAATGTACTTCCAGGCTTGGCAGAAACTTATGAGGTTCAGGGAAGGGGTGAACTTCAACTTGGTTTGTATCTCCTAACATTGGATTTGTTTATTTATTTTTCCTTTTTCCTCTTTTACTTGAGGTAAAAGCATTTCTCTGAATATGTATAGCCATGAATTGCGTCCACTTGTATCTCGCTTCCTTTTTTTTTTTTTGTTTTTTAAATTTCTGCTGATTCTAATTTTTCTTTTATGGTAAATAGGTATATTAATTGAGAATATGAGACGTGAAGGATTTGAGCTTTCTGTCTCACCACCAAAAGTTATGTACGTTATTAAGATTCTTGATTAAGGCACTGGTTTTGTCTCATTCCATATTAATGACACATGTCATTTGTTTGTGTCCAACGAATAAAAAATCCATAGATCAAGTCTTTGGAAACCTCACAATATTAGTATTGATTTGAAAGAGAAAGATCAGAAGTGAGAGGTGAAAAGCATCTAATATATCTATTAAAGTTTGTAAGCATTATCTGGGATGCAACTTACTATAGCGTCAAAGTATTGTTTACAGGGGAGGGTTATTTTTTTTTATTTTTATTTTTTAAACTCTCATTTACTGGATTTATGTTGTTAATATAAGCAAAGTAATATCAAATTTTGTTGATGAGTGCCACTGGTCTGAGGTAGGTCCTACTGAAAAATGTAACAACAATCAGATTATTTTGATTGATGTTAACTTTTTCAGGAACCTTTATTCTTCCTCTTCTGTTGACTTTTGTGTTTCAAATTTGAAAAGTTCTCATATATTTGCTGAGCTATATATTTTTGGGTTAATTTCGGTTACCTCCTCTCACTGTTAGTGTAATTTTACAAATTCTGATTTAGTTTGGTAATTTTCTTTGACCTCCCCTATAGTATTAGTATTGCTATCCTGTCCACTGTAAACAATGATTAAGCAAAATCTGATGGGAGGTCAATGATAATTAAGAAAATTTTTTAGGAAGATTACCAATAATTTGGTAGAATCTTAAGGGAGGTAATAGATGCTTACAAAGGGAGGTCAGAAACAATTTTCTAACTATAAGGGGTGTTTGCAAAATTAGAACAAACCTCAGGGGAGGTAAGCAAAATTAATCCTACATGTTTCTTCTGTAATTCTGTGTTAAGAATCAAAATTCTTATTTATTAATAAAGTTAGTTTAATGTTTATTATATTAAAAAAAAAAATCATAATTCCTGTTCATGAGGTATCAGAAATTTATCTGAGTGATGGGTTCATTGCCAAAACTGTAGAAACAGCATCTGTTTGTATCAATTCTTCTCCAAATCTATTGATGTTATTTTTAAAATCTCTTGGTCTTGTTTGCTGCCTCTGTTTTGTCTTATACCTTTATTTGTGTGCTCTTCTTTTTATTTTTTTATTTTTTTGGCAAGTTATGATTTTTATCTCTTGAACAATGTTCCTTCCCAAATCAGGTATAAAACCGAAAATAATGTGAAGCTTGAGCCAATTGAAGAAGTGACTATTGAGGTAGGATTTCTGATCTGCATATCAACTGGTTTTACACTCTTATAATTGGAACTTTTACTTATTATGATTTTATTTCAGATTAATGAAGAACATGTGGGGTTGATTATGGAAGCTCTCTCTCATAGACGAGCTGAAGTTGTCGACATGGGTCCAGTCCCTGGAAATGATGGCAGAACCAAATTATCTTTGACTTGTCCTTCGAGGTTGGTGCTTAAATTCTCTTTCTACTCTCAGTTAAGTGTTCATCTAATGCCAGCTCATAAAACATATTTCCAATACCTTACAGTTAAGAATAAATGATAGATGTAGACTCTTTTTGATGACACAAGATTTGGGTAAAGGATATTGAGGAGAAATGAATAAAGAATAGAATATAAGGTATCTCTATTAGAGGGGTGGCAAAATCAAGGTGCAAAGAAACCCTCTGGAAGAAATACTGTCTAACCTCTTTATGTATTTGTTTCTTGTACGGTCTGAGTGTGGTTTTTTACCTTGCAACCAAAATTCATCAAAAAAGAAATAACTTACTAGTTAGAAGTTAAGGCCCAGTAGGTCTGTTACCTGCTTTGATGTTTATGGTTCACAATTCTAGAATACTGGTGATTGTTTTCCTTTTCTTTTGACATTGCTTACTTTGTTTCAAATCCCAGGGGGTGTCTGACTATCCTTCAAAATTATAATTTTCTTGTCTGTTATGTACTTCAGGGGCCTTGTTGGTTACAGAAGTGTGTTCAGCAGTGACACTCGAGGAACTGGATTTATGCATCGTGCTTTCCTAAGTATGTGTTTTTAATCTAGGGATTTTTTTGACTGTTACTTTCTATTTGTTGTTCTTTGTTTTAATGTCCCATTGGGGTAGTAATTCCTTAACCCTGTTAACACTTGGTGACCTAGGTACATGAATATATAGTCCAGAGCTTTAGTTTTTTGAAAGATTAGATTGATTGGACATAAATACGATCTATTTCCAAATGTGCCTAAATACATGTGTATATATACATGGCTATGATATGTATGTTCACACTCATATATATAACAATTAAAATAAAATAAAATAAAAAATGTATAGGGAAGTAGGAATATGTCTAAATTCTAAAATGGGTTGGTTCCCTAAATGTGTGCCTAGAAATCTGGTGGTAGATCATATGTAATAGTACTTGCTTATTGTCAGTTCAATCTTGGAGTATGACTACTTGAGGGTAGTCACTTTTGTTTTATGAAGGGCATGGATTCTGGGGGAATTGAAATATTAGTATTCTAGCATGACAGGGAGATAGACTTTGATTAAGGTTAATCCTGGTACTGTTTCTTAAAAAGAAGACGACTTGTAATAGTTAATGTTACTTTTGACAATCAATTTTCAGTTCATAGCAATGACCTTGTTTTTTTTTTTTTTTTTTTCATCATTATCTTAATCATTTTGCTTTGAGATGAGTTGTGAACCACGGACTGGTAAAAGACCTGAATGCATTATTTGCTTTTTAAGTGTTTTAATGTGTCCACAATCTCACTTGTTCATGGCTGATTATCTTTCCTCCTTTCTTGTCTTGGAAAAATCTTCACACTAATGCGCATTGTAATCTATGTGTTGCAGAGTATGAAAAATATCGAGGGCCTCTTGGAAATGTTAGAAAAGGAGTGTTGGTATGTTTATCAAATGCCATTCTGCTTCATGACATTGTTACTGAAAATTATCTGTTAATCTTCACTTTCTCACCAAAAAGAGCGAAATAGTGTTTATAACTGTATAAGATGCTGTGTCTTTTTGCATTCTTAGTTTCTGAAACATAAATATTGACATTGCAAATGGACAGAGATCCTTCAAACTCTCTATTTTATAATATAGAGTTTTATTGGATATATGAAGTACTAAGAGTTTAAAACATATTGTTTTCTTGATAGTATGCATTAAATATTATGTATTTGTTGCTAAGATACCACCAATTATTCAATGCTTTGAAAATGTATGTTGTAAGATCTGTTATGTCTTCTAATTGAATTAGATCTTGGAGTTTATTTTACTTGTAATATTTTTCAGTCTACTACCTGATGTTATCTGTTTACTGATTGAACAGATATCAATGGGCTATGGTACAATCACAGCTCATGCATTAATGAGTTTAGAAGCTCGTGGAATTCTTTTCGTGCCTCCTGGAGTGGAGGTTGTCTACTTAAAATAACCACTTTTACTGCTTTCATTTTTGCCTCTTTGCTTTTGCTCAGATTCATTATCATCCATATGTGATATTGAAGTTCCAGTCTTTAAAATTTGAACATGATTGGTAGCCCTCCTATCTTCGAGTTTTCCTCTGACAAGAAACTCTGCATATATTGTTTAAGACATATTATTGTAGCCAAGCATGTTTAGTACTGGTATTTTATGAAATACTTAAGTTATAAACTGACTGTCAGAAATCTTATACAAACAGATATTGACATATAACATAAAGGAAGATGAACTTATATTAAACAATTTTTATTTTAAAAAAAATAATATGATTTAGCAATAAAACATAGTATTTAAGTTAGTTTAGTTATAAGAGCTTGTATAATAAGCTTGGAAGTGTAGATAATTTATATGTTATATCAGACTGCTGACGCCTTTCTAACTTCCCGTCTGATCATGATTTCATTACCCTGATTCCGATGGGATTGATGTGTATATCCTGCAAGAATGTTGCAGTTTCTTGTTGTCTCACATGAGTATGTTGCAGATTCTTGTTATGTCACATGAGTATATTGCAGACTCTTTGTATCTAATGTGATAAAGGGAAAAGAATTTAGGATAGCATATGTTGGCTGTCTGTTGGGCCTTTGGATAAAAAGAATGATAAACATTTAATGGGGAGAGTGAAAGAGATTATCTGTATTCAAGGAATTTGAGACACCAACCTTAGCAAATAGCATTTCTAAGTGTGGCTATTCATTTGACTTGCTGCTAATGTTATTGTATTATGTGCAGACATATGATGGCATGATTATTGGTGAACATTCACGGGATACGGATCTCGATGTATGATTGATCTTACCTCTCACATTATGCATTTTTGTTGTTTCAAGGTGACTGACTTTGCTATTATTTTCCTTAACAGGTCAACCCAGCGAGGGCCAAGGAACTTAATAATATCCGGGCTGCTGGCAAGGACGAGAATGTGAAGCTATCTCCTCCTCGCCTTGTATGCAATTTTCTACCGTTGAACTTGAGTTGTCTGGTTTTCTTTTTTCAATATATATGTTTATTTGTTTTTCAATCTATGAGCTGTTAACGCAGACCATGTAGCATTAATATTCTCCTGCAGCTTGTTTTTTAATATCTTATTATACATTGACTGGTTTTTTTTGAAACTCTGTACATGACATATTTTGTCGTTTATGAGTTGCACTGCACCAAAGTGAACTTTTATTTTGACATAGCAAGTTGTCATATAATTTACTATTCAAAATTGGAGAACAAGTAGCAATAGGGTGTTTTTGGTTGCTGGCTAACTAGAAGCTCTTTCAGCTATGTATTGGGTTGTTGATATGTTATTTTCTGTGCAGATGACACTGGAAGAGGCTATAGGGTATGTAGCTTCTGATGAGCTTATTGAGGTTAGTTGTGAATAATATTTAACTTCATTTTTAGCTATTAGGAGATATTTACTTAGTTTTTTATAGAAATTTTCAAATTCGTTAGGCTCTACTTATTATGTCATTTTTTCTCCCTACATTTTCCATTCTGTCATAAACAGATCACATAATTGGTGGCTTCTGATTGAGGAAATTCTTATTATTTTTAACACAATTTGAAAGAAAAAGATTATACCACCCTTTTTAACTCAAAAAACAAAGTAATTTTTTCCTTTCCAAGTGGGATGCCCACCCTTGGGAAGGAAATCTATGGGGAATCCGCTGGAGAAGGGAATCCCTGTAAATGATACATAATTTGAGCTATCAACTCCACTAAACAAAATGGCGTAAAAAGAACTATAAATTTCTCCCATGTAATTGAATGCTGATTATCCATATAATTTGAGCTTAAATTTTAATTATGAAACTTAAATGTTTCGTGATTTTGCTTGTTTATTGATATCTTATAATATCATATATGTATGCAGGTTACACCCAAGGCCATTCGGTTGAGAAAGAAATACCTGGACGTTAACAAGCGTAAAGCCATGAGCAAAAGGCCGAAGGAATAAGCCTTTGTCCTTACAATTTTGTATTCTATAAAATTGTTGTACCAGAGGATTTATCCTTGATACAATTTGTTGAACTCACTAAGTTATTATACCATAATTACAGGTTCGCATTAGTATAGCTCCATATATGAACATGTAAAACTATTCATTAACAAACAGTAAGGACTGAGAATACTGAATGTTGTATCGAGAAATAATAATTAAAACTAGAATATTACATTTTGTGTAAATATCAAAGGCAGTGAGAAGTTATTCAAATTTTGTAGCGGAACGCCTCGATGTAATTTTATATAATAGTGAATGGTTGCCGGGAAATTGATGGAAGAAGCTCTTCAAAATTGTCCTTCCTGAATCCTGATTTGTTTCTTCGTCAAAGACCTTGAATTTTTTTCCTTTTATATAATTAAAATTTGACAATCGTGTTATTTTAATTGGATAATGACAAACAAGGCTGCTATTAATTTGACATGGTATAGGTCATAAATAGGCGGTGAGCTTTCACGTCTAAATAATTAAAGAATATGCATAAAAAAGTTGAAATTGTAATAGTAATGATATTGAAGAATGTGAACAGAGGAAATGATCATGGAGTTAGGAAAACAACTTTCCTGGAAAGGAACCTGTTAACTTAAAGTAAATCAAAGGAAGACTCATTCAGATACAGATTATTTCTTTTCAATATCCATTCACAAATTAATTAAAATTTAAAATGTTATATTTTATAGTTTTCGCTAGATGAGGTTGAAATTTTGAATTTTAAAAGTTTGATTTAATTTAACAACAGAAAGGAAGCGCCAGTTATGGCAAGATTTGTAAATATTGTAAAGACATTCCGTAGAATGTAATTTCACTTGTAAATATCTTTTTCAGTTTTGTACTTTTATTATTGAATTAGAATTAGAAAAGGAAAGTAGAGTGAAAAAGAAAGGAATAATAGCAATTGCCAGTTTGAGTTGAGATGAGGTAAAATTGAAAGCTTTGAAAAGGTAAGGCTCCAACTAATTCAACTTCATTGCCTCTCTCTCTCCCTCTTCCTGCAAATCAAATCTCTCTTTTTCACTCAAACTCAAATGTATAGATCGCCATCTTGATCCTTTCCATTCTCATAGTAGATATTACTTCTACTTACTTAAAATAGATTAGAGTACAAGAATCTGATAAACACAAACAACATAAAATGGGAGCTTACAGAGCTGATGATGACTACGATTACTTGTTCAAGGTGGTCTTAATTGGCGACTCTGGAGTTGGTAAATCCAATCTCTTGTCACGATTCACTAAAAACGAATTCAGTCTCGAATCTAAATCCACCATCGGCGTCGAATTCGCTACTCGCAGCATTCGCGTCGATGACAAGGTCGTCAAGGCCCAGATTTGGGATACTGCCGGCCAAGAACGGTAAATGTTTTGTTCATCATTTTCATTTGAATTCCACAGATCTTGTTATCTGAGATCCCTACTTAATACCCTGTTTTATAAATTCATAATACAACTAAGGCCGATTGTCAATCAACTATCGCATGCGTATATTTTTTATTAATTGAGATTTTTTCGCTGAATTGCATTTGATGTGATGAATGTTAGCTGTATAGTTCTGTTACAGATATAAAGCTCATTGTGTTAAGTTTTGATCTGCAAAATTAGGTGCATATTGTGGCATCAGTATCACTCTTGTTTAAGATCTAATCAATTATCACTAATACTGATTTCCATTTGAGATAGTGTAAGAAATTGACAAGAAAAGTAAACAATATAGTGATAAAGAGAGAAACCAATGCATTTTGATTGGCTTCATTTTCTTTTTAACTGATTTGTACTAATTTTCATTGTTGGCATTCTGCCTCTTCTTGATTGGCAACACATTATGTTTGCTTAATATTTCTGTGGAATATAGTCCTTTTTATCATTTCATTGATGCTGATCATCTTGTATTAGGTACCGTGCAATCACAAGTGCATACTACAGAGGAGCGGTAGGTGCATTGCTTGTTTATGATGTTACACGACATGTCACGTTTGAGAATGTGGAGAGATGGTTAAAGGAGCTTAGGGATCACACTGATTCCAACATTGTGATCATGCTTGTTGGAAACAAGGCAGATTTACGTCATTTGCGTGCAGTTTCCACCGAGGATGCTCAGTCATTTGCTGAGAGAGAGACTACCTTTTTCATGGAAACCTCTGCGCTAGAATCACTAAACGTGGAAAATGCCTTCACAGAAGTACTCACTCAGATATATCGTGTTGTCAGCAGGAAAGCTCTTGATGTTGGCGAAGATCCAGCAGCCTTGCCCAAGGGGCAAACTATTAATGTTGGCACTAAAGATGATGTATCAGCGGTGAAAAAGGCTGGATGCTGCAGTGCATAATCTGCAGCAATGAAAGAAGTTATCGTGGTAAAAACTAGTTTCTCCTCTTTCTCAAATTTACATTTCCATGGTTTGGAGACATCTTCGTTTTTGTATGTGTCAGGATGAGATCACATGGAGTGGTGCAGGAACAAATTGTAGTTTTGTGGTACATCATGGATTGAGAGAGTCAAAATCTTGTCGGAGTTTAATTGAAATCATAAGCCCTCAGATCTAAGAGCTCACATTTGGTGCAAGCTCCTTGTGTTTTTTCTTAATGTATTGTTTGTTTTGTCTCCGAGTATTATTATAGTATGTATTCAGTATCCAGTCTCTAGATTAGTTTAAATTTTATTGCAAAGGATTGAAATTTGGAAAGTATGTTAAGATAATTCTGTTCTCCAAGTGATTGATTGATTATTTGGTACTGAAATTTAAGTTTTTACTTAATTCACTTGCAACCCAACAAGGGAGTTAAAAAATCTGGGAGTTTGGAGTATTATATACTTATCTTTTATTGTAGTTGATGTTAAATTTGGTAGTGAGAAGTGAGAACTGAGAAGGCAGCATTTATTGGTCAGCATGGGGCATGAGATGAATGATGGTCTAATGAATGTGTATATCTGTATTTTCATTAAGTTTACCCAGGGCAGGTAGTAGTTGTGAATAGTCATTTCGCTGTCTGACATTGGCGTTGCCTTAAATGAAGAACACGTTATTGTACCTTCCTCACCGGATACCGCAACTAATTTTACCGCTAAGTCATTCTATTCTAAATATATGAATCTTAAACGATCCCATTTTTTCATTGCCCATACATATCATTAAATAGATCCAATATCATTTAGATACCAACTCCTGTAAATACCATAATATAAAATGAAACCCTCTCCAAAGCTTGACCTTCTGCAGCTCCTTAAATTTCTTTCCTCTTGCCTCATAACAAATCTATACATTCTACATGAATAGCTTCAAGGATGTGAACTTTGCAGCTTTGAGAACATATTTTTTCTTCTCTATTTTATCGTAAACTGAGGGGATACTGGTGATTATAAAATCAGTTCGTTTTAGGGCTGTCAGACGAGTCGAACGGCTCTTGAGTCGGCTTGGCTCGGCTCGTCTGAAGCTCGTTTATGACTCGGCTCGTGATTAGCCGAGTCAACTCGGCTCGTGATTAGCCGAGTCAACTCGGCTCGAGCTCGCTGTATAAAACGAGCCGAGTTTGAACATGGGGAGGCTCGGCTTGAAGGCTCGCGAACCTGATGTGGCTCGGCTAAGCAGGGTTCTATTTGTTATATTTTATAAATAGTGGGGGACTGAAGTGTTGTCTTTATTCTTTAGTTTTAACCCCTCAATGTAATTAGTTCTAAAACACAAAATTAAACCCTCAAATCAGATTTCCCAAATCGACAAACCCTAACTCTTAAATTTGTTCTTGCAAATTTTCATAATAAAAAATCAAAATCAAAATAAGGTTGTATTGAGGAAGAAGATGAAAGACAATGATGAAGATGAAGATGAAGATGAAGAAGATGGAGATGGAAGCAGTGTAAATCGTGATTTTCTACAAGATGAAGATGAGATGGAGATGAAAATGGAGATGAAGATGATGGAGATAAAGATGAAGATGATGAAGATAAAGATATACAGATGATGCAGTCATGCAGATGATGAAGATGATGGAGATAAAGATGCAGATGATGAAGATGATGGAGATAAAGATGCAGATGATGAAGATGAAGTCGAGTTGGCTCGAACTTGATCGAGCTCGAGTCCGAGTCCCTTTTCTTTGACTCGACAGGATCGAGCTCGAACTCGAGCTTGATCCTGTAGCAAACGAGTCGAGCTTGATAAGTCGAAAACTTGACTTGACTCGGCTCGTTTACAGCGTTAGTTCGTTTAAATCATTTTCTGTTCCTCTTTTTTTTTTTTTTTTTTTTTTTTTATTACTACTTTTAAATCAACTTTCATTGTGATTCCAAACCCAAGTATCCAATTAAGTAATTTTCTCTTGAGGAAATGAGTGGGTGTCAGTCCACGCAACTTAACACTGTTATATAATTATCTTGTAATAATCTATCTTTATTTAATTATTTGGTTTATTTCTTCGTTATCATAAAGTACTTCAGTTTATATTGAATTGTTTTTTTAGTGCTTAATCAAATAGAGTCCAAGCAACACAAAATAATTTGTATTTAATTATCATTATATGATCGAGTTGTTAACTTTTAAATGTATTATTTAAAGGATTTTAAATTTGATTCACTTTAGTTTTTAATGGATAATCAGTGAATACCGAAGACTCACACGATTGTTAATTTTAGAACCTTACTAAAGAATTATTCGATTATTAATTTCGGAACTTAGAGAGATTAACTTTAAGTGAGCATCAACTGGCACGACTAGGGCTGTAAGCGAACCGAGCCGCTCGCGAGTAGCTCGCGGCTCGGCTCGAACGAGCCAGATTCGACTGACAAAAGTCGAGCCGAGCTCGAGCTTGAGCGGCTCGAGTACCCTCTCGAGCCGAGCTACGAACCACCCACTACTCGGCTCGATAGGCTCGTGAATGGCTCGAAAGGGTATAAGTGCTATTTTTTTAAATATCAGGGGGTTATATGTAATTTACTATATCCAATATAAATTATCCCACTTCCTAAACCCTATCTTCTTTCTCCAGCGCCGCCACTTTCTCATTCCCTTTTCTTCATCTTTTTTCTCCTTGTCTTTTTTCTCCTCCATTTTCCTTCTTCTTCTTCACCTTT